CCTACTGCCTTTCACAGAAAGAAAATTTGTCTCTTGGAGGTGGCAAATCTGAATCCTGATAAATTTTCCTCTGGCACAACTGGCTTCCAGCCTGGAATGCACGATCCAGCACATAACATTTGAAATCTTCTCATCTCTTCCCTATATTTTACTGACTCCCAAAGGAATTTTCTGGAGTCTTGCTACCACCTGAAGGACAAGGAAGTTAGCATCATATCTTTGTATTAAATTGTTGGTTGCTCATTTTCTGTGTCATTTTCCTTGTGGCTTAACACAGTACAGTAACATGTGAGTATGGTTGCTGGGTTGGCACAATTACAGGGGTTTTATTACTCAAGGGTCCCGATGGGCAAAAAGATGAACAGAAGTCAGTCATGTTCCCTAGCAGAACAGAAGGTCAGTGCCATCCTGGGCAATGTTACCAGCAGTTGAGGGAGATTATTCTTTCCCTTTACTCAGTCTTGAAGTGCTGAGTCTGATTCTGGGTGTCCCAGTACAAGGGAAACATGAACACACTGGACAGAGTTCAGCAAAGGGCTACAGATGTGAGGAAGACCCTGGAGTATGTCTTTTACAAGGAAAGGCTGAGAGTTGGAACTGTTCAGCCTGGAGAAGAGAAGGCTCAGGGGCATCTTAGCAATGTGTATCAATATCTGAAGGGTGGAGTGACGAAGGCAGAGCCAGAATGTGGTCAGGGGTACACATTTGCCACAAGAAGAGACAAGGGGCACAAAGTGAAAGACAGAAATTCCCATTTATACAGAAGAAAAGAAAAATTCACAATGAGAGTGACCCCCACAGGCTGTGGAGTCTCCATCCATGGAGGTATTCAAAACCCAAGTGGGCACAATCCTGACCAATCAGCTTTAGGTGGTGCTTCTGGAGAAGGGAGGATGGACTAGGAAATCTCCAGAGGTGCCCTCCAGCCTCAGCCAATCAGTGGTTCTGTGATTATCATACACATAGTTTGTGGCTGAAGTGATAACAAAGGCTCGTATTTTTTCACTTTGATAATGTTTACTTATTATAAGTACTTTGCAGCTTATGGGTTTAATAATAATAAAGGAAAATATTCCTATTATTGTTCTGCATTAAGAAATACTGAATGTTGTATCTAAGTGTTTGGCAATGAGAATAATTGACTTGATAATAATCTTGTTATCCAGGCAGAGCAAAGGTGGAAGTACTTTAATTTTTGAGCTCTTCACTCTGTGTTCACACAATCTTGGTCTGTTGATCTTGTAAGGTGATGTGTGTATGCTGGAGGGATATGGACTGAAGGAGATGTGGAAAGATTTGAGCATGGCACAGAAGCCAATTAGGGGACAAGAGAGCCTTTTGTGACCTTCAGCATCCCAAGGAAGGAGAAACTTAGCTTCAAAACTGAGGAGAAGCTGGTGAGAAAGAGGCTGCTTCTCCTTGAGTGTGAGAATTGCTGGCAGGCACCGGCTTGCCAAGTTTGCTGCTGCTGGCTCCTTTCACTGGGAACTTTACCAGGAGGCTGTTTATTCCCATTCCAGCTTCAAGAGAGAGCGCTGGCCTTTATAGACCTGTAGGGATGAGGCTGTTAAAAAACGTAATGTTTTTGCTCCCAGACCTTTGTGTTCATTTATACTGTTTAATCTGTGTGTTGTATGCCTTCTTTCCCAGAGCTTACGCAGAGCATCTTTTTTCACATCTGCACATTTCCTTTCATCCCATTAATGCCTGAAAAATATCTAAGAATATTTCTAGTGGATGCTCTTGCCAGATTTACCTTTCAGAATTTTTTTTTTCATTTCTAAAGTCAGTATTTTATAGCACAAAATTTTCTGGTTTTATTTATTTTTTGATCTACATTTTTGGACTGCTGGGAATTGATTGGCATTTTTGGCATTAACTTGTGATCCACAGTAACCAGCAGACTGTCAATCTTTCATCGTCTTAGACTTGTCACTCCAAAATAATGGAAAATGAAGGTTTAGGATGAATTGAGGAGCTGTATGAATTTGTAAGTTGACCTTTCTGTTCTTCTCCCATTCTCTCCCTGCTAAAGCAATGATATCCTTGCCTTTCATGGCAGGGTAATTTGGGCATGCAGTAAAATAAAACCAAATAACAAGGGCAAAACAGGTCTGTTCAATTGCTTTAATTATATATTTCTTAATGAACCTCCTAATTTCCCGTGGATTTATGCAACAGCTCCCCTTCACTTTATTTCTGTGCAATGATGCTTTGGAAAACAGTGTGCTTGCTCACAACACGAAGTGGCATTGCTGCCTATGTGCAGGGGCATAAGGATTCCTCTTGTTTAGAAGAGCAGGGGTGACTCCATTTTGGGCTGCTCCAGCTCCCAAGATGATCAGAGTCCTCTAAATTCTTCTCCCACTGGTCATCTCTGACCTGGGAACAGGCAGGGTGAGGGGCAGTGGTGAGGCTATGATGTGAGGCTCATCCAACACTCAGTGTGAGTGTTTGGACACTAATGGCTGTTTCCAAACGAAACAGGAGAAGGGATCTTGGTCAGGCTTTCCCTCAACTATCACCAGTTCTTAGCTCGTGATGGTGAAGAGAAGACCCTGGCCAGGAAGGACTGTTATTACATTTTGATTTCTCATATCCTCTTGCACCACCAGCAGGGTTTTTCTGCATTCTGATGCAGCAGGAATTTTGTAGAAAATTACTTATGTACAGCTTGGGCATCTTTCTACAGGAGGAGGAAGAGGAGGTTACATTGCCATGAAAATTTTCCAGCTTGCTGTAGTTACTCTCACTTGTAGGGTGTAGCCAAACAAGAAATACTGAGCACTGGGGGGTTTCTGGGCATTTGGTTTTTATTACAGCACAATCCTGTACAACTGTTTCCTGTAATTCCCTGTTAAAACACCATACCTTGCAGCTGCTAGCTACTATTTCTCAAAACAGACATCTGTGTAGATCTCTGTAGCTATGGATTGGCCACATAAAACAGCTCCTGTGTTGGCCTTGAGTGACTCTTAAAATTAAGAGAGCACTGAAGTGCCACAATTCGAATATAAGTAAATGGTTCACTGGTGCAGACATAGTGTTTTTCAGAGCTGGTGTCCTCTAGAGTTAACCTGCTTGTTTTTCTCAATTCAGTACAACTACTTAGTTTGTTAACAAGTAGAACAGCAAGAAAATAGTCAAAATGCAGCATTGCTTGCTTACAGGAGAAATGTGACCATTTTTGCTTGAAGTTTCTGAGTTGATTCCTCTCCACGCACTAATATTAAGGTCTTTTTTATCCGCCTCTTTCACTACAGAGAGCACCAAGTATAAAACCACCAACCTTTTGTTACCTACTTTCAAGTTCGGGGCGTGAAGAATTAACTAAACATTTGTTTGACATTATAAAGGAGCTGGGGCATATTTATGCTTCCTGCTTACAGGGTGGAAAGCATGTGACACACAGAACAAGGCCCTAGAGCTGTTTGCTCAAATAATGCTGGAAGGCACAGCAAATGAAGTTACAGGAATACACTTGTAATGCACTTCTGGGCCTGGTTTTTCATCCTCACCTGGAGAATATTTTTTAGGCCATGCTTCAGTTTCTCCATTGATAAAAAATTAAAGGATGTTTTCCAGTGTCCTTTCCAATATACCATTTGAATGGCAGTAAAAATACCAAATTTAACACAAATTAGTTTATGCTGCACAACTTCCTCCATCATCTCTTGTGATGTTTTCACTGTGTGTTAGGCAGTAACCCATTTTTTTTCTCTTGACTTGCTTAGGACTTCTAAAATAGTTTGAGGCCAGCCTTGGGTTCTATGGGTTTGTTGGCATAGCTGTGTCAGCTTGGATTTTGAACTACCCTCTCCCAAGGCTGCTGGGCTGGAAGCACAGTCTGGGTACAGCTCTGTTGACAGAGGCACGTAAATTCGAAGGTGGCATTCTCTCCTCTTTTTTTGTCAACTGCCTGCACTGTCTTTGAAGCAAGTAGTGTGTTTCCAGTCTGCTTCTAGTGATATGTATGCTACAGATAAATAAAATGCTGCACTGACATCCGCTAAAATATTTATGTATGCGTGTGGTCAGAATAAAGTGGGGAGATTTTTTCCTTTATCTGAGTTGCACTTTGTGAAGCAGGCAGTGATGAAACACAGTGATAAATATGGCCCAAATAATTTTGAATTGTTTATCGTAGTTAATACATATCAAACTTGGCATGTGTATGTTATAAAGAGGATGTTTCTGTCTGCTTGGTTTTCTGGAGAATTATTTTCTCAGTTTCACGTACAACACTGAGAAACAAGATGACCTGAATTTATACTGTCCAGTATGATAGATACTATGAAGCTTCTACTAAGGGCTCTAGATGTTGACAGTGAGAGGTCTTCTCATCTGACATGCCATCAGTAAAGAAGGTTAGTGGGGCACTGGAAAGCTGGTTTTTTACCCAGCTGCATTCCCAGTCAGATACTAGGCTCTTCCTGTGATTTCTGTAGATGGCATAATCACATTTCCCTGTTAGACAAAAATGGGTCCTGAAACCAGTCCACACTGTTACTGAAGGGATCTATCAGTCCACACTGAAGCAAAAAGTACGTCCATGTTTGGTTTTTCCTCTAGTGGATTGTCCCCCCAGTCACAACTCTGATAATCCATGACAAGAATATTTCTGGTCATGTATCCATGACCAAGAATATTTGTTGCTACTTGTGCCCAAAGAATTGCTGTGGTTTGCAGAGGTGTGACCTCATCATGCTCTTGAAGCTGCAGTTTCTGAAAGACAGAAGAGATTTTACTATTGGAAGTTGAAACGTGGCATGACTTATTTTTAATTCTGCAAGAAGACTTGAGGTTTTAGAAAAAGAAGATTGGCCCCATTCAGCAGATTCTTATGAAGCTCCAGGTCAACAGGTTGGAAAGATGGATGTGTTGATTTGAATAATTTTGAGGTTACTGGTTTGACAGAAAAGGTGTTATTTTAATGCTTATTTTACTTTATTTTGCAAACTTAATCATCTTTTTATTTGTTTTCTGTTCATTTCCCACAGAAACGTTCCAGAGGTCAAGTGCTATTCGACAAAGTGTGCGAGCATCTGAACCTTTTGGAAAAAGACTACTTTGGGCTAACATACAGAGACACAGAAAACCAAAAGGTAACCCACAAAACTGCAGGTGGCCTTTGGCATGTGAACATCAGAACTCCCTGAGACAGTCGCCAGACAGCTGTAAACAATACAGAAGTTGGTTTTATCTTCCTTGCCAAGTTTCATAGACACAGTTTGAGAGATTGTTTTTTGTGACACTACTTCTCAAGAGCCTCTCCTATGTTTCCTTGGGTTCCCTCTCTTTCGGCAATTTGTGACATGGAAGATATTAATAATATAGCTGGTGCTCTTTCTAATATGATTTATGCCTTTACTGTCATTGATGAAAGTCAGATTTACATTTATAGATACACTGCAAAGCAAAAAATACTAAAATATGGCTTAATAATAGTGGTTAGGACACAAATAGGCAGGAGACTCCTGATTGTTCCTGCTAACTGCTAAGATAAGGGAAGGCTCTAAGCCTTGACTTTACCTTAGCATTGTTGTTGATTTTACTAAAAACATTAGTCTTCAGAAGCAGTTGATAGCAATAGTGAATCACATTCTCCAGTCCTGCATTCCAACTTTCATATGAAACAAGCTGTATAGTACAAGTGTTGAAGATGATCTAATGTGAAGGTGTTTGGGACATGGTACTGTGAAAGAGAGAGTATCAAAGGATAATTTGAAATATGTTGTGTTATTTTGGCATTTTCAGATAAATATTTTAACAGAAAGCAGTACAAAACTTCTTAGCAATATGTGTAGTAGCTCAGCAGAGCTCACCAGCTGAAGGTATTTTGTGCTTTGTGAGGCCTGAAAGGTCTTCCCTGATGGAGCTGGAGCTTCTACTACTTTTTTCGCTGTTTATGTCTCTTGGGAAAAACAGTTGTGTTTTCTAGGCTTCCTTTTGTTTCACATATATATGATATTAAAGAAATCAATCTTTTTGTCTCTTTTTTCCCCTTTCTTTACAGACTCCTTTGTTTCTAATTCAGAAAATCACTTAAGCAGATACTTGGTCCATGCCAGCACAAGATAATACTTTAGCAGGCGCTTAGTTTTGAGTTTTGAGAAAAGCTAGACAGAAATCTAAGTGCATTTTCAGATAGGTATGCTTTCCTATGGGAAAGAGGAGCATGGATTCATTATTAACACGTGGTTTAGAAGCAATAATTGTTTATAGGACACCAGTTACTTTACAGAGCTGAACAGTTAAAAGAACAACTGCCTGCCACCCCTTTTATTGATCAATAACATGCATATTTTTAATGTCAAAATACTTAGCTATTCATCTCCATCCTCTGTCACGTAACTTCCAGCCAGACAACATATGTGCCCACATCCCATGTCATCTCTGTAAACAGATACCCTAATGTGTCTTTAATTTCTTGGTGCATAATGTGCTTTTGTGCTCAGCAATAGCTGGAGATCTTCAGGCTCAGGTTTTGCACCACAGAGCAGGTTTGGACAGCTGCAAACTGGTTGTTTTTGTAGGGGAGGGATTGTTGTGTTCTGCTTGTTTGATATTTCTTTAGTGTTTTATTGTCTCTGTGATACATTTGTTTATCTTTCTTTGGAGAAAGTGGAACTTTACTAGGGAAAGCGAACTTTTTGTTCTGGGCTCTGACGCATTTTAAATATTAATTTGATTCTCTTAGAGGTCAAGACAGCAGAAGAACTAAGACCCCAAGCTGCTGTGTGCCTTCTCCAGAGGAATTTAGTCTGCTCCTTGGCATCCATGAAGTACTAACACATCACTGGGACAATTCTCCACCTCCTCAGCAGGGGTTTTGTCTTGCATAGTCACTGGGCTCTGCATGGTGTGGATAGGGGCAGAGGTGCTGTGGTTCTGCCTCTGGTTTTCCCTGGAGAGCCCCTCATGCCTGTGCTGTGTTGCAAGCATCCCTAGTCTGCACTTGCTTATTCTCTAGCAAGTATTTTCAGCCTTTCCAGGATTGGAGAAAAAAAAAAAAAATCAATCAAAACCACCTCTTTATTAACGAGCTTGTAGAAATTCTGTTTTCCCTGAAGATACTATGCAAAAAGATCTCTGTGGGCTTATTTTAGCAATTTTTTTTTAATTTTTTTATTTCAAATCATTCAGGTCCTAAAAGTCTGTGCAGGTTAATAAAAATCCTGTTTCTACCCAGGGCCCCATCTTGAAAATTAGTGTTAGCCCTGCCTACTACTACTTCAAGGAGAAAGGAGTGGCAGAGCATCACATCTTCTAGCTTTGACTCATAGTACTGCTTTAAAAATAATGTTTATTGTGTTTTCTAATTCAAATTGAAAAAGGAAACATTTTCTTTGCAGAATTGGTTGGACCCTGCCAAGGAAATCAAGAAGCAGATCCGAAGTAAGTTTGTTATCGTTGCCCCCTTCTACATGTCTCCCCATGGGGACAAAGCGTATTTCACAATCATCTTTTGTATCCTGTGCCAAGTCTTTAGCAAAGGAATTATGTACATCCTTTAGATTTTTTGTGCTGTGATGATGGTGAAGCATTACTGATGCTCGTAACATGTGAACTTGCATTGCTGAAAACAACTTGACATTTGCAGTGATGCAAAATCCTGAAGTTTGACATTAAGCAATGTAACCTTAGGGACTAGGCCATGTATTTGAATTATTTCTTGCATTACTGATATTTATATCATATCCAGAAACACTGCTCATGCCCCATACTGGAATAATTCACTGACATAAAATAGTACTCCATCTAAAATACCTTTCCTTTCTTCATTTCAAAAGATTGATCTCTGCTCCTAAAATTACCATTCAGTCAAGTTTCTGATTCGCATTAATCTTTTTAAAAGCTATGTTGTTATAACTAGGTGTCTGATACATTAGAAATTTAAAAACCTCTCAGAGGAAAACCTTTTTGAGACTGCTGGGCTCAAAATTTGACTGGTGTTTTTTTACTTCCCCTCACTTTTAAAAATTGACAAAATGTCTATGTGTATGACTTCTGTGGGCAGAAAAGCGTCAGTAATTGTTTTTTTCTTTGCACATTTTGTAAATGACCTCTTCCAGCACTTGTGCTTTCACAAACAAATGTATCTGGTAGTTCACATTTGTTGGGTCAGACCTGGCAAAGAAATCCTTTCCCTCTCCAAGATTAAAAGGGTTAATTTACACTGGTGGGAAGATTTCCCCACTTGCTATGAGCAACTTCCCCTTTCCTCCAGTATTATTTTCACTACAAGTAAGTGATCTGCAATACAAAGTAATGTACATTTGCCTTTTTACCATCTCATGAAAGGATGGATCTGGGGAGGAACTTGCTTTAGACCACGATGAGTCAGGTTACACAGATGGTCAGTGCAAGAAAAGCAGCTCAGCTCTCCACCACATATTTGAAATGCATTTAATATGTACCCAAGCCATGAAATAGACAATAAAAGGTTGTGACAGTGAGAGATTACCCAGAGCAGAAGAGTTTCATCTTGGACTTGAGGCAGTGGACAGTTGTATTTGCAAAAAAATGACAGTAATACTTTTCTTTCTTTGTACAATTCATCCCAGAAGTTTCCAACAGGCCAACAGTTTAAAAGTAGTGCTGTTACCCATAATGCTTTCCAAAGCATACATATAGTCCTGTTAAATGCTGGCTGAGTTGTGCAACACGCAGACCACACTGCTGGGACTTCAGCCCAGTGCTTGAGAAAGGGCCTTGGTTCACATCCCGTTACTTATAACCCACTAACTTGCACAGTGTTAGGTTTCATTCCGACCCTGTAAATATGGGGTGAAGACTGCTTACTTCTCTGTCTTAACCATCTGTGCTATCATAATAGACTTTATCATAGGTTTCTTTTTTTTTTTTTTTTTTGCCGAGGAATAGATTTAGAGGCCATGGTCCCTTGCATCTTTTGTGGAACCAGGTGTCACCTCTGGCTGCATTCCCACCTTGGGGATAGTCTACTCTCTGCTGGGACCATGCCCCATCCTTGCTGCCAGCCAAATCTTCCTTTCACTGTCTTTTATGTCCCTAGAAAATGGAAAGGTTCCTAGAATCAAGGACTTTAAAAATCTTGCCAAGAGCTGAACTCCTGATGGTGAACATCAAAACTCCTCTTGCCCATTCATAGAATCATTGAATCATTTGGATTGGTTAGGACGTTCAAGATCACCTAATTTCAACCCCTGCCACAGGCAGGGACATCTCCCATTAAACCAGGTTGCTCAAAGCCCCATCCAGCCTGGCCTTGAACATTTGAGATTAGATGTGTGGATGACCAAAGTGGATGGGACCTCCCATGGGATAAAATTTCTTGTTGCTTGTAAGAACAGTGTGGTTTGGGGTTTTATTACTGCTTTTCATTTGCATTCAAGTCATGTGCTACTGTAACCTAACCCTTTTTTTTTCAGAATAACTTCTAAATTTATCTACTGTGTTCAACTGTATTTTTAAATCTTGATATTACTTTCTTTAACAACATTTAAAGCTAGCATTCCAGAAATAATTTTGCCAACTCTGGCGATACAAACCAGTATCCATCCCATGGGTGAACTAAATTTAGTGAAATAATTAAATAAGAATTCCCAGTGCTATGTACTTTTGCAGTCATATTCTCTGTTTGTCCTTGCAGTTTTGTCTGCACAATAATTTATGTCTGCTGAAGAAAGGAGCTATGTGCTGAGGCAGCACTCTTAAAGCATGCTGTGAGCTGATTTGGGCAGCTAGACCTCAGCACATCACCCTACTCCAGAGCCCATTTGTACTCTAGCTTGTGGTGTTCCAGTGCATCTGTGCTTTGGGTTATTGGTTTTTAAAACTTGTACGGACTGTGTGGTGCTTACATTCAATAAACCTTGTTCTCATACTGAGAGGTGTTTTAGTATTAGGGAGAAATTACTGCTCACTCAGAGTCCTCACTTCAGTGAAAATCCTGCTAAATAAGAGCTGTAAAATCTGATCTAATACACTATCTTCAGTACGATGTGTGGGAAAAAATATTCTAAAACCTGTTCTTATTAATTGTTTGTCTGGGATATTTTTAAGTCTGCTGGTGATTGAATAGCATGAGCATCTCTGTTTGAATTTCCAGTGTCTTTTCAGTCAATCTATGTTCTTTTTCAGGTGGTGCTTGGCAGTTTGCATTTAATGTGAAATTCTACCCTCCAGACCCTGCCCAGCTATCTGAGGACATTACCAGGTGTTTTAAACATTAAATACCTTTTTAGAAGTGGCTTAAAAGCTGTTCCTGGTAGTACTTACACACCAATTATACAAGAAAAGAAATGTTTTATATTCCAGTTGTATCTCTTTTTCATATGAGCTTATGGAAAATATGCAATATTTTGACAGAAAAGACAGTATCTATCCTCTGTGTTATGAAGTGTGTTGTGTAGTTTAAGCCTAAATCCCAGCTTTTTGAATATGTGTATTCCTTAGAATTGATTTTAATCTTCTCAAAGATGCCTGATGCCCATTTTTGCCAGAGGTAACAAGTTATTACTACAAGTAAAATCATGACTGTGAAAGGAAATAAGTGAGCTAATGTTGTGGTTTTATGACCATACTGAATCCAAAACAGAGCAAGCACTGTACCAGCTACTTAGGGAAAAATGAACTCTTTCCCAGCTGAAGCCAGGATAGATGAGAATAAGCATGCATATGCAAATTTTGTGTATCATTTAAGTAAGTAAGCAATCAATGTACATGGAATAGAGAACATGATGGTAATTAATAGATGCTCCTTCCTCTCCAAGTCACTCAGCTCTGCACTCTGTACCTCTGCTCTTTGGTTTTGTATTCACATTGCAACCACAAAAAAAAAAAAAACCAACAACAAAAAAAAAAAAACCACCGTCACTTGATTTCCTCCTTGGAAGAAGGCACAAACTTTTTGATCTGTGATGAGTTTTTGTGCCATCAGCAAACTATTCCTTAGACTTGCAACATTTGGCAACCTTTGAATATTTTTAACCTTCAGTATTTTATGGACTACTTGTTGCTTTTCAGGTAGCATGAAGCTTTTGGCCTTGATCAGGGTCCCCTGTGGTAGGTACTGTGCAAAGAGGCAGTGTGCCAAGAGTTCAAAATTGAACAGAGGACTTACAAAGGAAAGGATTGCTTTGCTCCTCTTTAGACTCCTAAATTTCCCCTGGGAGCTCTGCCTTTGCCACCAGACCAATGCTCTTCACTTTTTTGCTGTTTTCATGTATCTGGTAAAACCTTCCATTGCATATTTCTTTGGTTTTAACAGCATTTACATTGCTAAAGAGACAGCTTATGTTTTTTGAATTACTTGGAGTTCTGCTATTCTTAAGTGAACAGTATATAAGAATTTTAATTACTTTTTTCTCCTGAAAGAATTATCAGGTAGTTTTATATGTAAGTGGTCTGTGATAGAAATCTAGTATGTTTAATGGGTATTTCTTCATCTAGGTCACTAAACAGAGTAATAACTTTATTTAGAGATCTCCATGCTGCTATATAAAGATAAATTAGGTGTTCCTACTGATAAATTAGGCAAGAGCTTGGGGTTTTGGGATTATTTTTACAAAATTACTATTGTTCATGTAAATGGCTGAAGATCTCTGGGCTTGGCTGTCTGCACATGCCTGTTGGAACCGAGGCCTCTTTCCAGTGCTCGGGCGGTGCTTCTTTGGGGGCAGCGGTGGAGGAGCCCTGTCTGAGCTGCTTTGGTGCTCCCTTGCAGGTACTACCTCTGCTTGCAGCTGAGAGATGACATCGTTTCGGGACGGCTGCCCTGCTCGTTCGTCACACTGGCCCTGCTGGGCTCCTACACCGTGCAGTCAGAGCTCGGCGACTACGACCCCGACGAGTACGGCAGCGACTACATCAGCGAGTTCCGCTTTGCGCCAAACCACACTAAAGAGTTGGAGGACAAAGTGATTGAGCTGCACAAGAGCCACAGGTAAGCTGAGGGCATCAGTGTGAGCTCTACCCTGCTTCAGGTACCATCTTTGTGCATCAGGAGGTGTTAAATTCTGCAGTGGTGTACCTAATATTTTTCCAACAAGACTCCTCTGCATGTCTTTGGAGAGACAAGAGCTCTGCAGCATGTGAGTTAACAGGTTCTGCACTAGAGCTGTGGCTCTGGTAGGTACCCAGCCAACTAAGGGGTATGACTATAGTTCTGACGGGCTGACAATGTTTTCCAGCTGCTGGATTTTCTTTTGGTTTCTGTTTCCTTAACATTTGTGCTAGAACTGGCTACTTTTCCACAGGGGAATGACACCTGCAGAAGCTGAGATGCATTTCCTGGAGAATGCCAAAAAACTATCAATGTATGGAGTAGATCTCCATCATGCCAAGGTATGTACTTTGGTTCTTTCACTGGCCATGTGTCTCCTGTGACATTGTACTTGGATCTGCATGGACTCCCTGATTTATTTTTTCTTGTAGTTTTGAGACAGGATTTTTGTGAGATGAATCATGTGTCAACATGAGGAAATGTGACTCATGAAATAAACATAAATATATCTTGTAACCATAACATAACTTATCCTATAGATTCAAAGATGTTGCACATCAACTTTCGTGTTGATTAAACAATGCTATCCTTGAGGAGAATACTGAATGGATGAAGTGATGAGGGAGGATTTTAGAAACTGTCCAGAGAGTGGTGAATTTTCTTTTAATTCAGCTACATTTCCCAGTTCAATAAGGCCAGCATGCTATCTTAACTGGATAGCAGATCATTTTTATACTGCAAAGGACTTTCAAGCAATTATTTAGCTGTGCTGGAAACCTAATCAGATTGATGATAATGGTGAGAGAGCAGCTTGTCTCTTTCCTGAAGTGTGGTTGTTGTGGTTGACAGGGAGGGCAGTAATTCTCCTGGAAACATTCTCCCATGATCAGGCAGTTTCTCTAATCATCAGCAGGCTAAGTTATGAATAAAACATGGTCATTCTTACTTTGGCTGGAGTGAGTGACTTATTAGCCTTGTATTGGTTGTTGGATTTTTTGATTTAGGTTTTTTTTTTTCCAAATAAATAATTACTATTGTTTTCTTCATTCTTCAGAGTAAGACTAATGGATTTTAACATTTTTGAGGTTAGCAAGCATCCTTGGAAAATGAATATGGAACCAAAGAATTCTGCCCTGTGGAGGGAACCACATTTTCTGTAAAGGTCAAATTATTGTGAGCCTGTTTTTTGCTGCAGCAGCTCCTTTCAGGAATTGAGATAAATTTGCAGCTTGGATTTTGAAAGAGCCTGCAACCATGTCCTTGGGACATTTCATAGGATTTGTGCATGTGTGTTACAGAATTCAAAGCAATCCTTTGAGTTCTGTTAATTGCCTTCACTGAAAATGAAGGATCTGTGTACAGCTCAATGGGCAACGTCTACCAGGAGGGATGCCACTGCTTTCTCCGTGTCCTGCAGATACACACACTGTCTTGAGGCACATTTGGAGTAGAGAGAAACGATTGGCAAGTGTCACTTGATAGCTTTTTTCCCAATGCAAAGAAGTCCAAAAACCAGCAACTAAATGGATTACTGTTTTAAATAAGTTACAAGCTTTGTTACTGAAAGTTTTACATGACATAGCATTAAGGCCTAAGTATTTTTTCAGAATATTATAGAAAAACTGTGAAGTGTAAGATGGGATATTATAAGATAACAATTTTATTTATTCTTTCCTGAAAAAGTATTATTATCCTGGTTTGTTGTTCTTCTTTTTCACATCAAAAGACTCAGAGCAAAAGAAGTTAGCAGAAAAGCTAATCTCTCTTTGAACTGATGCTCTTTATTTTAAAAAGCTGCAGTGATAACCAAGATGTGTCTGTCTGTGGGTTAATGATCCCCACAGTCATCTTGAAACCTGAACTGAAGGTGGGAAAAGTAGACTCTGCGTGAAAAGTCATGTTTAGTTTTAATTAGGTCTGCCAGGGAGGTTTGATGATGTCAGGCTAGGGGACAAGTATCTGTGTGTCTTTTGGAAGTCATGCCACGGCAAATGTCTCTGTGTAAATGTCAATTCATTAAGATAGTGCCAATATCTTCAGTGTTGGACAGATGTTGGACTCACCAGCTCTGATTAAAACTAGTTCTCAGTTATCAAATGTAAGGCTGTGATTAAAAATAATGTTCAGATAGACAGACTTGTCCTCTGGGCTGTCACCATTTTGAGGAAGGCCACCCTATCTTTATGCAGAGCTAGAGGGATATGCCTCAGACATTACAGGTAGCAGGTTCCCATGTAACCCATGTCCCATGTAACCACACGGCTCTTGAAAATAGCCAAATCCTTTTATTTAGGTTTCATTTTACTCTGGAATTATCATATTGGAAAATGGTCTATGACACCGAAAAGTAACGGAAGTCTTGATTAAACTTAGGTTTGTGGTGAAGATGGAGGAAGAAGATATTTCTCAACAATTTTTGAGAAAGTATATAAAAAGAAGCCCCTTGCACCTGCAGAAACATGCCATGTATGAGCATACTTGCATTTCAGACATTCACCAGGCAGTGTGATTACTGCAGTGAAACTTTTTATTTTAGAATGTGTTCAGTGTATTTAGGTTTTGCTCTTTGCTTAGGAAAGTGAAACTGAAGTACACTAAAATAATTACTTTTGTCTTTTCTGTAGTGCCTGATGGTGATACTACACGTGAGCTATATTTAGGACAAAATGTATCTTTAAAGTGGTTATTCCATCGTTGGAACATAGGTCCTCTATTGGTGTGTTTTCCTAACACTGGAGTGACTTTGTGGCACTATTTCTATGTTGTGATTTTAAAACTTTTTTCTTTTTTTCATTTCAAGCTGTGCCATAGCTGTTTCATCATGACTGACCATGCATACCATTGTGTTGGTTTTGAAATGTAATCAGATTTTCACCAAATGCCTAAAAGGTGGTTGGTTGGGAAACCAGAGAAAAGTTGTGAACTCATTTCATGATTATCCTAGGGTGATATCTTCATAGCTTCTGTGATTAAGTTTTTGTGATTAAGTTATTAAAAAGCAATTTGTGAAGAACTCAATGCTTCTTGATGCTTCAATGATTCTTCATTTCTATATCAGTACTAGTACTTTAGCTAAACAAAAAAAAACAGTGATAGAAGATAGTGAAGATTGGTTTTAGACTATTTGAAGACTTCTAAAGGAAAGGAAAATCTACATTTCTTACTTTAAAAAATACATATTTATGGGTATGTTCTGATAAGATTGTGGACTAATCTTTTGCAGTGCTGTTGTGTCTGAGCTACAGCCTCCTGGCAAGTGTAGGTTATAGCACAGTCACCGTCACACAACTTTTAAAAAAGAATCCTTTCTGGTCCAAATGCCCAACTTCATGCCCACTGGGCATTTCATAGTGAAAATACTGAGCAAAGGCATAAGAGCATTAAAGACACTAGCAAATCTACTAAAGCCAAGGTGAGCAAGCTACTGAAGAAAAATTTATCTAAGGATACACAAGGCTTAGTCATGGAGATGAGTGATACCAGGAGAAGTAAATTTGTATGCTGTCATACTTACTTTCAATCTGGTATTTATGCTAACAAAGCTTTTTTATTATGCTAATAAAACTTCGCTATATGATTGATGTATTTCTTTTAATGGCATCTAAAATTTCCCTCCTTCTTTCGGAGTCTTTGTAAAATATAAGGAAATATTTGAAACCCTCAGTTTCCTTCACCCTGCCCAACCTTACTATTATTTGCATGAATGCATTCAGTGAGTAGGGTAGCACTCAGAAATCAGGTCACTACAGCTGATGCATTAAAAAGACGTAGCTCAGATTGAAAGACAGGATACAGGAATCTGTAGTACTGTAGGATGCAAGGATAGAAATACTCAACAAAGTGCATTGCTTGCTATTCCAGGATTCCGAAGGAGTGGAAATCATGCTAGGAGTCTGTGCAAGTGGACTCTTAATATATCGAGACAGACTAAGAATAAATAGATTTGCCTGGCCAAAGGTTTTGAAAATTTCCTACAAGAGGAACAACTTCTACATCAAAATCCGACCAGGGGAGGTAAGGGCATCCTGATTCTCCTAAGTGGGTGAGCCTCTTGAAAAAACGTATGTTTTTATTGATTTTTTGATTTGTTTTGTCTTATAAACTTTTAACATTCCTTTCCATTCATATTTCCTAATTTATGCTGATTTTCTTAGGAAAGGTTAGGTATTTACTTTCTTTAAAATTCAGGTAAAAACCAACATTGTTATATTTCTGTTTACATCCATTAAATAATATAAGAAATAAATACGGCCATCTGCACATAAAAAGCTCATCCATATTATGAATACTTTGGGCATTTAAGTAGCATATTTCTTATTCATGGAGAGCTTGTTATCCTCCCTCATGTTGTACATGAAACTGGCATTTATCTCACCCACTAAGAAATGTAGACAGGCCATACCAAACTTTATAAGCATATCAGACCAGTATATTTACAGCATTTTGGGTAGCTGCACACATTAGCTCTCCTGGGAGAGCTCCCACTCTGGCTCTGGAGAAGGGGATGTGAAACCTCGTACAGTGAGTGCCCTCTCGTGGCTCAGCCGGATGCGAAGCAAATACCAACCTCGTGGGCTGAGCATGTACTCACCCAGAAATCATGGGTGTCATGGAATGGTTTGGGTTGGAAGGGACCTTAATGATCATCTAGTTCCAGGCCCTCCGCTGTGGGCATGGACGCCATCCACTAGACCGGGTTGTCCAAAGCTCCATCCAGCCTGGCCTATAAGATGCTAACTCTTGAGAAATTCAGTATCATCACAGGCAAAAGAGGATTTCCATTTTAAACGCTGGCACAATAATTGGCCTGTCATAGATGAAATTCCCATACCCATTTAGAGTGTGGAGCTGTATAGCAGGACAGAAATCACTTAGATGAAGATTGGCATTTCTCTCATGATGCAGCCAATGTCTCTGGGACTGACTTCATAACTGACCTGGGAAACTTGCTGGAGCTCCCCACCCCTGAGCCTGAGCCTTTTTTAGAGTCCTAAACCAAAATCCACAAACCTACATTTCCTGCCCCTCAGCAGACACAGTTTTAGTAACCAAATTTCTAGCCTTGAATTCAATTTTAAGAACTCAAACAGTCATTGGCATTCTCAATGCCTGCACTGAAGCTCTCTGCCACTGCTACCCTGTTGAGCTCTGATGGTCTTGGTACACAGTACCCTGTGACCAGGCCACAGTTCCATGTGTAAAATAATCAATGCAGCCTCTGTCCAAATTACATTTGATGATAATGTGATTCACTAAACCACATCATCTTTATTATTTTGTTGTTTCCTGCCTTATTTCCCTGTCAGGTTCTGTAGGGATCCAGACCTCCTTACAAATGCCTTTCTGTCTACCTTTCCCCCATCATAGCAGCTGTGTTTTACCTACTTAGCTGTCTGCATGTATCCATCAACATGTTACTACAGATATAGCTGGCACAGCTTCTGCATCTGAAATATATAATTTTGCAGCACAATCTAAAAATTGCTTTTATCTCTGGACAATTCTTTTCAATTACCTGTCTTGCCTCATCCTCTTCAGATGAATTAGCTGTAACCACTGTGATTTACTGACAATAGTACTTTCTCTGTAAATATCCTTAATCTAAGGTGTGTGAGACCAAATTAGTCCCTAAGGACAATTGCTCACCTACAGCTATTACCAGGCTTCTCACTGTAGTTCTAACTAGTGAAATTAAATCAACAGGGCAAAACACTTGAGTGATGTTTTCTCAGAAGTCTCCCAAATCTTAACTGATCTCTTTTTTACTTTAGGGTATAAAACATCACTGTCACTATAAGAAATCTCTTGCTCATTACTAGTGTTTTCCCCTAGAAATGATCCTCAAAGGTTGCCATAGATTATCATTTACAGCTTCTTTCCCAGAATTCTTTCTGTAGAATATGGATATATGTGGTTATGTACATGAGCATATACATTCCCCCTTGCAATGAGGTCATACAGACAGAGGAAATGAAGATGAACCTTGTGTACACTGTCTAAAAATAGATGCACAGCATCAAAAACATACTTTTTTTTTTTCCCTACCTAGTTTGAGCAGTTTGAAAGCACTATTGGGTTTAAGTTGCCAAATCATCGTGCTGCAAAGCGCTTATGGAAAGTGTGTGTTGAACATCATACATTTTTCAGGTATGTGGATTTCTTTTCCTAAAGGTGTGATGTAAAATGCAACAGAAAATATCAGTTTTGTCAGCAGAGACGAAACCCTTCAAATCAAATTGTCTTTTTGATCATGAGGTACCTCTGAGCAGATAAAGGAAAGTTATTTCTTTTTCAAAATTTGAGGTGTTGCACCCAAATTATTCATACTATTTCAGATAGATACTGCTTAAAATCACCATATGGTCCTAATTAATCACTTTGCTTTATCTGTGCCACAATATTATCAGCTGCTATAATTTAAGAGATGCAGGACTCTGCTGCACTACTGCATATAAGCTTGCATAGAGAGAACAGCTTATATGGAAGATTGCTGAAGGACGTGGCTAAGAGTTTAAAAAAAAAAGAATTTTTTTTTAAATTATATATGAAAGTACAGACAGTAGTCGGTCATGGTTATTTTTGGTCACCCAGAATACCCAATCCCTAGCTGTAATTTTTGGATTACTAAGGAATTTTGCACCTATTTTTTTCACTTCTAGGAAGAACAGAGAAAACTGTGGGTTAGTGAAATAAGTGCTGTAATTAGTTTGCACTAAGATAGTCACTAAACAGATATTTTAAAAGGGAAATGCAAAAGGGTGAGATTTTCAACAGTTTGAATGGATGTCCATTGCTTAAGAACCCCCTCTGGGAAATGTTTGGGAGTATTGAAGAATGTCCCTCCTTTCCTAAAACTGTTAGTTCGTGCTGTTTGTACATTCATATGAAATGCAGTCTTAGCAGCAAAAGATCTAAAGAGAAATGGAGTGTGCATTTTTGGGATATTTTCTGAGTTTTAATGAAAAATCAATGTCTGAGGCATAGACTCTGTAGCAGCAGAATGGCTTCTTCAGCCAGATGCCATGCCCAAAATACAGAGGGTGGGAGAGCTCTAACCTGAAAAATGTCTACAGCCCTGTGAATGAATACTGCCTGTCATTCACTGGAAGTCAGTTCTGGCCCTGTCCTGAGCATAACATCACCATGTTAAATTTGAAGAGATACATCTGCATTTCTGCCCAATCAAGGCCTCTGGTACAAGGAACACCTTTTTAGTTTTGGTAATCAGAAAATAGTAAATCTGATTTTCAAGCATGAAGGAGCTGAGTGATTCTTGCTCATTTGGAAGAATTCAGATCTTCAAATGCTTTAGCTAAGTGGTTTTGTCATGCTGTATCAGGGGCATCCTTGATTCCCTTTCAGCCACAGACCGCTGGGGCACAGATTACGATGAAGAGTGGTACCCAGGAGTCGTCTTCTCTCCTCTGCAGAAAAGGTGGACTGATTTTGGAGGAGGGGGAATAACAGGTGCACTGCTTGGTGTGTTTTAGGCTCCTGCTGCCAGAAGCACCTCCAAAGAAGTTCCTCACACTGGGCTCCAAGTTTCGATACAGTGGCCGGACGCAGGCCCAGACGAGAAGAGCCAGTGCCCTCATAGACCGTCCTGCACCGTACTTTGAGCGGTCCTCTAGTAAACGTTACACCATGTCTCGCAGCTTAGATGGGGGTAAGGTCCTCTCGACTGACCTTATCAAACATCATCATCGCAGTGGTCACTGCTTTAGATTAGGTGTAAACCTCATCATCTCTTCTCCTTGAGATTTGGCTGAGTGGAAGGTGTGAGTACCTGCACGTTCACTGCAGGGGTAGAGGAAGATGCAGAGAAATTCGATGCTAAATGTACTGTTGTGATCCTTACAGAGTGTTTGGCTGGAGGATGTCCTTTGGAACCCACACTTGACAGAGCCTCTGTCCTTGGCCTCATATCTGCTTCCCTAATTTGGGGGAGGATGAGGTGGATGTGCCTGCTCAAGAATGTCAGGCTTCAACACATTTTCAGGGTTTGCATGAGTAACTGTTTTGGTTTTGGTTTAATCTGAGATTTTCTTCTGTGTAGGTTTTTCACTTAAATCTGTTACAACTCAGAAATTTCCCTTGAGTGATAACACTTGATTCCAATTACCTCACATCCTGATCCAAAGAACACTAAGAGACTTTTTTCATATGTTATTTTCAAAAGTTTGAAATGGAGAATAACATACATTGATTAATAGTACATCCTTCCTCACTTTATCCTTGCTTCATGGAGGTCATGGTTCTGCTGCTGACTTCGGTTAAATCAGTTTGTAGTTCAGAGTATCAGCTACTTCCATCAGCTATTACTGTTGTCAGCTTTTGAGTAAAAAGAGGCTGTCCTTTTGTAGTTTATTTTTGTAGGAAAAAAAGAAGACTGAGACTAAACACAGATTAATTACAGATTAAAAAAAAAGGTGAACTCTCTTGCAGAATATCACAAATTGCAATGAATATAATTGCTGGTGGGGATGGGAGAAGTTTTGATTTAAAAGTACACGTGACAAGCCTTTTCCTCTCCCTCTAAAGGTGCTGCTTGTCATTGATTATTTTGGAATATTCTAATTCTGATGTGCTTCTTGGTCGTTACCAAGCAACTGGTGACCTGATTGCTGTGCATGTGTTTCAAAGCAGAAATTATCCTTCTGCATTATTTTGTTTGTAACATCTAAACAAGATGTCTCCCTCTACTCCCTTTGCTTTCTCCTGCCTCCTGAACTTAATCCCAAGAGATGAGATACCTGAAACACTTTACCCAGCATTTGTTAGACTCTGCAAGATTTTTATGATCTTAATTTGCCTAAGTGCAAATGGGGGAAAGAGGTTTTTTAAATCAATGCTTATGATTTCTTCACTAGCGTTGTTACTATAATGCAGATGTGTCTGTAACATTCTGCATTGTGCTTACATTGTGATCCAGACTCTGTCATTTGTTACAGATGCAAATGAGTTTATAAATGTGAAAAATCCTATTGGTTTAGAAAATAGTTACCCAATAATCAAGAGCAGGGTCTGGGCATATGTTAAAATTTTGATTACATTCTATCTGTAAAGGTACTATTTCTTTCAAAAACTTTTATATATTTAAATCTGATTCATTATTGAGCACTTGCATCCTAAAATGTACTGAATGTCATCACTTCGCAGAATTTTTTAGGATAATAAGCTCACCTAACTGGCAGACTTTAGTACTCAATAATACAAGGATCACATTTCCTTTTTCTCAGGTATTTTGCCTGTGTTATATCAATGCTGTCATATTCTGTAATGCAGCATGTTACTAAAATCTGCATTTGATCTGTGTTTTTATATTCTGACAGATCTTTAAAAAAAACATCTCTTCCACCCCCATGGCTGATGTCACAGTTGGTTCTCCTTATGCTTCCTGCCTGATAACTGTGGCAATGCATTGCTTTTTTTTATGTGGTGTTTTACTACTGTAGTAATTTTAACGGCTTGCTAACATTTAACAACTGTGTAATGCACACATTAGTTACAGTAATGTGTGTATACACATCCATAATATATGTGTATGCATATAAAAGCTATGAGCTTGAAGTAAACAATTTATTTAAATGTATGCACATGCTTCTGGTTTCCTGAAACATGACATAGTTGTGTTTTTAGTGTTATCTCAAATGTTTTTCTAAACCAGCTTTTTTAATTTTGTGCAGCTTCTCAGCAAAAGCTATTTCAGATTTTCCCTCTTTAAATATTTGCTTTTAGCATCAGTGAATGAAAACCATGAAATGTACATGAAGGATTCTGTGTCTGCTGCAGAGGTTGGTACTGGCCAGTACGCCACAACAAAGGGCATCTCTCAGACCAACTTGATAACCACTGTGACTCCAGAGAAAAAGACAGAAGAGGACAAAGATGATGAAGAGGGCAAAAAGAAGAGAGCAGAGGAAGTCACCCCGATTTCAGCAATACGCCATGACACCAAGGTAGAATTTTCAGGGTTTTGTATTAAACAAGGCTGCCTTGAGAGTGCTTTGAGAAACACAGAATTTTTAGGGAAGGGGGAGAAAGAGGAAATAAAACTAGTTCTGTGAAAGGAAATATACTATGTGTATTTGCATGTCTTGAACCAGTGTTTTTGCAGTCCTTTCAGTTTGCATATAATATTGTACAAGTTAGTTCCTGCCTTGGACTTTTTTTTTTTAATATGTTTAACAGTCAGATTGATGTTTTTCATGCAGCATTCAACATCTCTTTAAGGATTGCCCAGAAGTAGCCTGGTGGTGCATGTTTTTTATTCTGGTTTTCAGTCATATTTTGACTTTAGTATGACCATCCTATTTTTTTATTTTGATAAGGCAACAAAATAGTTCTGTATGTAGCCCTGTGCTTTAAACTATTGCTCTTATACTTCTCATAACACTGTTTCCTTGCATGAATTTCAGTGGGCATTTCTTCTCTATTAATTTCTGGATACTAATTTGCTGTTATAAGCAATTATTTTCTGGCTTACAAAAGTATTTGCTTCACTTGTTTGAAGCTTCTGTTGAAGAAAGCATTTTTTATTGATGGTTCTCTTATCAATTGTTAAATTTGAGTCATCCCTCATCATCTTCAATCCCACCACCAGCACACACACATGGTTGTGCATAATATATATTGAGATATTAAAACAGGGTAAACCTAACAGAAGGATGGAGGAAATAATAAATAGGGGTTGACAGTGAAAAGGAATACAGTAAAATAACATTCAGAAAGTGTACTGTGGAATGCACTTGCTAAACAAGTAAGTTTTACTTATCCTCATCTTTTAGGAAGAAAAGCCTTGATATATATATTTATAGCCACAGAATTGTCAAGTATGCAAATGTTAGAACCTGAACTTTTAGTTTGATCATATAAGGCCACAATGAGCTACATAGCAAAAGGATCGAGTTCTCAACAAGAGTTGCAGTTAAGGTACTGAAAACCAGAAACAAATTGAGTTACTGAAAATTGCTAATGAGAGAGGTTTTCTTTTGAAAGTGTGTGCTGTATTGTAGCATTTAAAAGATAATTACAAAATTTAACTGGGGTCTTGTTGAAACTCCATTAGTTTCCACACAGAGAAAGAATGATGAAAATCAAGTATGTAGAAAACATCCAAAAGAAGCTAGTTCTGTTCCAAGTGTTCGTTAATTTAAATCAATGGAGGGATCAGTTGCATTTTGAAGATCATCTAGATGTTCCTTATATATGGCTAGAAATACTCAGAGATAGTTTAGGAGACTAATTTGATGGAACTTATATATGCTCAAATGATTGATTATTACCCCCACTCAAGAGATGAGTTCTTTTTAAACCATCATAAATAGAGTTTCAGTTCTGTAATCCTACAGAGATCTCAGTCCTGCTTCCACATGGACCTGCTAACAGATTTGTCTGTCATCATAAAGGGAATGTCTCAAGAAACACAATACAAGCTTGAAATCAAATCCCTTTTAAGGGCATATAAATGTTTTAGGTATGTTTGCAGCTTTTCCTTAAGACATTTTGCCTTTGTTTTATCCATGTGTATTTAAGTACCAGAAGTTATTCTAAATATTAATGCTGTAAAGATGTTAGCAATGAATAGTTTGAATTAGAAAAGAATACATTTACTTTGGATTTTTGTCTTTACAGTAAAGAGAAGTTGTATTTGTGTATGTATTTAGCTCACACAAAAACCTGTGAGTCCATCAGCATTGTTTTGACTTGAGCTTACTACATTAAGCCCATAAAGACATTTGTAAGTGGTTTGAAGCTAGGCTTGGTTCTGATTGCTTAGTTTGGGAAAACAGATTCCTTGAATTGATAGATTGTTAGAGAAGAGAGAAAGGGAAATATGAAGGAGGAATTACTTGGCTTATGTCCCACTCCTACCATTAATATACCTGGTAAAGTTCAGGCTTAGTAGCAATTGGCATTTAAAACTTGGATCTGCTTTTTGCCTTCAGTTCAACACCAGCTTGAACTGGCGGCAAACGCTGTTGTGGCTTTAAAGTAATTTGCTTTTGGGAGCCTGGAGTGAAAGTGAAATGGCTATTATAGCTCTCTGGGGAGATATGATATGGATGGAGCAGCTCAGGCACTTAGGGTTTTATCATGGATACTGTGGGCCACTTCAGCTATGTGCACTTGGTGGATTTTGGCCAAAACATCTCTGATCCATCAGCATTGTGGCAGATATTTTAGTGGGTATACGTCTTGGTGATGACAGTGGTTTTTGTCCTTCTAAAGAGCAGTGGTGTATGCTTGCAGGGAACATGTGAAATGACAATCACCGTTTCCACTGAATCACCTCCCTCCTCCTACCAGTTTTTTGACCTCAAATGACCTGAAAGGCTAGTTGAATGCCCTGCAAGCGGCATATCAAAGCAGATGCTGCTTGTTGGTAGCCAGTATTCTTGGCATTTTGGTAAAACTTGTAGCAAAAGCACCAGGGTCATTTTTGCCTCTTCACTATGGTAAAGGATTACATTTTGATTATGACAAGACGTGGCTGTGTGGGGCAAGGACTCTTTCTAGCCAGCCCCACTTCAGATCTCCAGTGAGAGAGTATGGGGTCTGCTGAGCCACAAGTCACAACTCCCTTCTTTCAGTGTACGGCCAAAGAAGTGGCAGCGTGGAGGGGCTGGCAGGTTGCATGGCTGGGAGGGGCTGAGCCCCAGCACTGCCTGCTCGGGCTCACAGTGAGCAGAGGTGAGGGCAGGGCTGTGGTGATGCCCAGCAGGGGCCAGTGGTGGGAGCTGTGCTGAGGAACCGGCTGCTGGGATATCTGTTGAGCAGTTTTTCTCCATCAGGAGCATTGAAGAATAGATTTCTGCTCCCCCCATCAAACAACAGTGTATTTTAATTTGGTTTATGGCCTAGATTTTCTTTTTAAAATATTGCAATCAAGGAAATTAAAGTCCTTGGATTTATTTTAATTATATATAATAATATTATATAATGGAATTATTTTAATTATTACTGCTGAGGTTGTCCAAGGCATAGATGGGAAGCATTTAGCCCTCACCGTGTCTCCTCCCGACTTCAAGAATGCTGTCACAAGTACTGCTGGTACCAGAAATATGTTTCCTTCTTTATTGCTCTCCATATATTTCATGTTTGAAAACTTTATGATCGGAAACCAATCTTGCAGTAAGTGAAAATTGGCAACACCTGAAACTCCCTATGTGGCCATGGAGGCTTTTATATAAATCCTGCGCTGCAAAGGACTAGACAAATTTTGAATCAAGAAGTTGCCTTTTGTAAGCTGGAAGCGTGATTCGCTAATACCTGTGGTGTGTGGCATGGGAACATGCACCATTCAATTCGGTGGAAACCTGTAGTGTTAAAATACTGTTTATAATTTTATATATATAATATATATTATTTATCATCACAGAAGAAAATTAACTAATTACAGTTTTCTTTTTGTCCTTTTGCTTTTGCGCCTTGTTTGCTGCTCTTTCTCTGTCACCAGCCATCTTTGCTTGGCACTGACTCCCACCACTCCTCGCCATCCTTTCAGCCTGGCCCCCATGTATCTTCAGCAAAGCTTCGCAGGAGATGCAAGGAGAGCACTCGGACAAAGTCCTTAGGCTGTGAGGCCCCCAAAGAGAGTGCTCCAAAACACAGCGAGTTGGAGCCCGACTCTGACAGAAAGGGGCGAGTTTGCTCCGCCGAGCAAGACATGGCTTTTGGCTACAAGCAAAAAGCTGGCAAAGGCGGAACACTGTTTTCCTTCTCCTTGCAACTTCCAGAGTCATTTCCTTCCCTCCTGGATGACGATGGCTACCTGTCGCTCCCTAACCTCTCCGAAACCAACCTCCTGCCTGCCAGTGTGCAGCACTACCTCCCCATCCGCTCCCCCTCCCTCGTGCCTTGCTTCCTCTTCATTTTTTTCTTTCTGCTCTCTGCCTCTTTCTCAGTGCCATACGCCCTCACTCTCTCCTTTCCTCTGGCTATGTGCCTCTGCTACCTGGAGCCCAAGGCGGCCTCCTTGAGTGCCTCACTTGCCAATGACCTGAGTGACAGTTCAGAGGAAGAGGTGTGTACCTCGGCATCGAACACACTCTTTTTTGTGTTCAGTGCTTCAGTCCTAACCAGTGTTAGATTGCTGCAATAGTGGTCCTACTTTCAGAGCCTCATTTCTGTCTGTGCTAATATGTTAGAAGGGGTTTATTTTTTGGTTTGGGGTTGTTGTTTTTTGGTTTGGTTTTTTTCTTCTTTTTTATTTTTTTCTCATTCTGGGAGTACAGCTTGGAGCCCAGGGTTAGGCACAACACTGTGTGGAAGAGGCTTGGCTTGAACTGTGTCAGTTGGTACAAAGTGACTAGCACTAAATGAAAAGAGCTTTTTCTTCCCTCTATCAGTTTATACTAGGGTTAGAATAGTTATCTAAATAGTAAGTATTAAGTATAATTTTCTGCATAATTACTGAAGCATGCAAATATATTAATATGTATCTATATTTATATGACTAGCTACCTAACAATGATGAGCACCCTCACCAACTTTAGTCGTTTCAAAGTCCAGATGGACTCAGCTTTTTGCAAAAGGTTATCAGCTGTAACTGAACCCCAGAAAAGGCTTTCTGGTCCAGCAAAACCTGGATCTTGATTTTCAGCTTTGATCCCATCTCTGCTGCAGATTAAATTGTTTTCCCATGGTTAAATCCAGCATATCAGTGAGGGGTCAGATTGGGACAGCTGTTCTGCAGCTGTTGTGGGAGCTTGCCACGTGGGCTGTCTTGACATTTGCAGTGTTAGATTAGCACTGCCAAAACTGATGCCTCAAGCCATCAAGGTCATCATGTGCAGGGGAATCGGCTACAGTAGGAATCTGCAGTGGTTCTGGGTACTGTGGATGTGCTGGTATATCCAGAATTAGGAAAGGAATCTGATTAAGTAACAGAGTAACTGGCATCTCAGTTTTTGCTGGAGCCTGATTATTCTTGGTTGACAGAATAAAATAATGAGTTCAGGTTTTCCTTGATTTTCTATTTTCTTCTTCAACTTCAAATACAAAAGTATGGTTTTGTTCTGTATATAAAGAAAAAAACACAGATCAGATAATCACAGACCAGCTGGCCATGTAAAAAGCCACCTTGGCCACTTGTCAATAGTCCATTGCAGTAGCTCTCTTCAATAAACCAGCTTGAACCTTCTCATCTGCTGCTGTTGCTTTGTAAGACTTGGTGCAAGATTTCATTTCTTTTTTATGGAAAGCCAAAAGTCACATCAATTTGTCTTGTAAAAACATTGTCTTTAAATGCTTTTGGCTCTGCGATGCCTTACAACTAAAAATAATGTACAATTTCTGATAAAAGGCATCCAAAATGCTGCTGTCTTATTTCTTGTCCTCATTTTGAGACAGCATTTAAGTCTCAATTTGCATTAGCTCCGCACTTGGATTAATCTAATAGCAGTAACAGCATTAATATAGTTCCAGCCCTAGAGGCAATAATGAGGCAGTGTTTTTGTAATACATTAGTCTGTTCCTCTTTCAGAAATGAGCACTTCTTTTTGTTAGTAAAGTTAGGAAGTATTGAGCATAAAAACATCTAAAATAGGCTTTTTAGTATCGCTCTTTTATGAGGGTGATTACTCTGGCAGTGCTTTCTGGCAGACAACACAGACTTGTGCCTAATCCACGGGGTATTTCTTGTTCAAAATATTGCATGAAAGTGAATATGTCTTAAACTCGGGCATGTCTGCATTACATTGGCAAAACAAATCACAGCAATTACGATCGCAAGGTAGGAGAGGTGCAGCCACAGCGCATCAGCAGAAGCTGCCTTCTGTCCTGCTCCAGCCCTTGGCTGCCCGCTAGCCCCACCTCAGCTGTACCTCAGCCCATCTTGGTGCTGAGCCTGGCTTTTCTTAGTCTTCACTCCAGAGAAGACCTGCCTTGCTTAGCCTTAACTCATCATTCCCTGCTCTGTGATAACTCCAGATCTTTATTTCAAGTAACTCAGTAATGTTGACTTTGACTCCATGGCTGTTGATTGGCTTATCAGCAGACATGTATGTTGCAATAAAGCAAGCTTTATGCTTTATTTAGGATTTCGTTCCACTTATGGCAAAAAAGATAGGAACCTTTTCTGCCCCCACAGTACACAAAACATTGCACACAGAGATGCAGAAGACTACAGCCAGTATCCTGAATCAATGCCTTATGTTGTTGAACTTGTTTTCCCTTGAGCTATGCATCTGGAGTTAGTCCATGCAGTCAAAGACAGAATCTCACCCCTTGGAATTCACTAGCTTCTGTGTTTTTACCTTAGCAGCTAATTTTCTGTCGACTTCAAGTTCTTAAAATGAACCCTATCTGCCAGACTTGTGTTACAGTGCCTTGACACAATTTTTAATTATTTTTAAATTCCTAGATGCATTAATTCCTCTTTGCTTCTTTTTATTTTTGTAAACAGGAGTGACAATGCATACATTTTTTTTCTACTTCCATACCTTTACAATTGTCTATAATTTTATAAAGACATGAGATCCTTTTTTAATAAATAAATAATTTTCTAGCATTTTAGTGAAAGCAATTGGATCAGCCTAATAGACGGCTTTGATATTACACTGCCATTTAAAAATATATGTGGTGTATCTCAAGAGTGGTCATGGCTTGAAAAATTTCATGTGATTTGCATTCATGCATTTAGCATGTAGTGGAAAATGCTTGTTTATTCTTCTGTCTGTCATACAAACAATACAAACTCTTCAAAGAATATAAAAGCTATGAAAAAAAAATCAAAAGATTGTCTTATGAAACAATTGAGTGGTCAGAAAATGGCATAAAATTGAAGGAAATTCAAAGCTAAGACTGATATTCCATCCACCAGTAGGTTGTTCTTTTATTCTTGTTCATGTTGATGTGATTGGAGGATGAGATGTGTTGTCTTGGCTTTAAATTGACTGCCTAGGTTGCTATCTAAGGACCATAGAAAATCACTAATGGAAACCAGAGCTTTCACTGCTATCAAAACAACTTGGATGTGGCAGTATGGGGCGGTAGGGTGCACTTTACTTACTAGTTTTCCATATGCTTACCTGACATCAGGGTAGTTTTTTGAACTCTCTTCCCAGCCTGTGGTAACCTCCACTCCACTCTCTCTTAACTTTGACACTTGAGTTCTCCACTAAAATGTTCTTCATGGAAAGGAGGGATAGATCAGTCTGTGCAATGCTGTGCTTTGTTTCATTTTTATCACTCATACCTAGTAAGTGTTTGGAGGGTGGGGGGAGTTACTTTTGTTTTTCTCCTGCTTTCATCCATACTCTTAAATGAAATGGGAAGTATTTTTTTTCTTCTTTTAATGGCAGTTTTCTTTCTTTTTATTATCATTAACAATTATCAGCTGCTCTTTATTGGAACCGAGTGGGATCTGAGCCTTACCATTACTCCACAGACAGACAGTAGATGGGCTGGGGGTACGGTTATTTGAACTCCTTGGTAATGCAGACAGCCTCATGGTGTGTAAATGTGGAGACAAGAACAACCTCTGTACAAATGAGGGGCTGAAAGTCAGATGACTGTTAAAGTAGCTTTGTTGTGGTTGTTTTCTTTAATTGTCTTTTTCCCCTCCAGATAAAAATTTAACCACCACTTTATATTGGCTAGAACAAAAATTAATTCAATAATTTTCTGTAAAAAATCATTATGGGAGGAAAAGTTTGATTAGAAAATATTAGTCACTTTTTTTCCCCATTTTTTTTGAGCTACCTGGTTTTCTTAAAGAAAAAAAAATTGTTATTCAAATAACACTTTTCCAGTAACGTTTTGTTTGGCTTATAAATTTGTTCCAGTAAAGCTATATACTGTGTACAGTACGCCTCGAGTCTTCCTCTGAGTCTGTTCTGTTTACTAATATAGCATTTTTATTTTGCTTCTTTGACATGTGCGTTGTTCGAAAAGCAATGCTAATGCAGTTCACAGGGTTGTTGAGTTTAACAGTTCCCCGTGTGAGCCACGTGTACTGATAAGCTGGGTTTATTCTTTATTCCTGCCTTCCTCTCGGGACCCGGGTACTTGTCTAACCCAATAGACTGACAGTGAGCAGACGGATACTGCGGCTGATGGTGAGACCACTGCCACCGAGGTTTGTACAGTCACCAGCACCCAGCTATGGCAGGGGAGAGCGTTTGGCCTCGTCTCTTCCCGACCCTGGGCCTTGGGGCTAGACCGCATGTCTGCTACGGCAGCTCAGGATCCCTCCCTGCGCGTGTGTGCATGTGCGTGCCTGCAAGCGGGAGAGCTTTGCTAGGAGAGTTGAGTTTCCAGTGCTCCCTGTGGGTTCCTCTTATTCCTGAGTTGGGTTTGGAAGATGCAAGGCCTCTGTGTTGTGCGGTTAGTGGGGCAGTGGTGGTGTCACCCGTGCCAGTGCTGCCCACCCGGTGGGTTCTGCTGGCCAGATCTTGCCCTGGGGATTTTTGTTTGCCTGTTTGCTCTTATACTTTGAAACCTGAGTGGGAACATGGGGAAAAGACAATAAAAAGCTCTTTTCAGATTTACTGAATATTCTCAGATTTTAAATATCTTAAGTTTTTTCTTTAATGTAATTTCACATGGCATCTTCACATATGGCCACTACTAGTCCAGGTATTCTTTTTAGAGGAGAAATGTAAAATGTTTATATTTTCCTTGCACTAAGAAGCCTCATATCCACAACGTGGTACATAGACTGTGCAAGCAAATTCAACCCTATGTGACTTCACTGAAGTGCATATAATGCTTTCATAATTAATAGGGTTGCAACTGCAAACATGAGCTGAATTTCATCTGACATCTGCTAGAAGACAGTGCCTTACTACAAACATTACTCTAGGTATCCAGAAGGATCTCATTAATATTTGAGACTGTTAAAATTATCGTCAAGGAAAAATTTTCTGTATGACGCGTCAGGACGATTCAGCCTTGGTTGTAAATAGAATAAATTTGAATGGAGTTGTAAAGTAATCAACAGATTTTCCCATGAGTTATTTGTCTAATTAGGACTATATGAAAAATTAACAATAAAATATTAGCATGGGCATTAAAAGAATTCAAACAGTGCAACAACATAAAGTCTGTTGAGATGAGTCAGAAGTACAAGATGCTTTGAAGTGCTTCATTCACTCCATAGCTTCAGGCCTTGAGCCCTGTAGAAAGTAAAACATAATCATAAAATTGTGACATTTAAAATTTTCAATTTAATACTCAAAATTTCATGCTAATATCCCTAGTTGCCATCTTTATTTAGAGGAGAAGATATAGCACATTTCAGTTTTTCATATGGATACCGGATTTTCAAAATGTGTGGTATATCTGCCACCTGCAAATTGCACCCTTGGAAACAGGGCTGCTGGCACTGTCCTTATGGTGCTGCTTTTGAAAATGGGCACTGAAGTGGACGGGATGTGTGAGCCATTCCAGATGATAGGTCGTTAAAGAATGTATACAGGCTAAATATGAAATAAAATTACAGAAATACAGAAAGGGACTGTGGTTAGGGAAATAGCATTTTAAGCAAATAAAATGTGCTTCTTTCTTTAGAAAGTGTTGCAGGTTGTTTGCCCATGGTGAGTTTATGCAAAGCTTTGTCTGTGGCCCAGATTATGTCCTATATGTAAATTCTGGAATTACGGAATTCCGAAGCATTTTCTGTTGCTGTTCTGTCCTAGATTAGCTGCGACCTTGGTGAGAAGGTGCAACTGCTGCTCTATAAATCAAGATTTATTAATGTGGAGTGTAGCAATACTTATTAAAGGGAGATGTTTAACACCCCTTTGATAACAAAACACAAATTTGAGAAGTGGACATTTGCTCTGAGTTAGGAAAACCGTGCAAAGCTAGTGTGTCTACTCCTTCTCCTTAAACCTTTAATGAGGAGAAAATGGGATTTTAACTTAGTGTGTACCTCTCACCAATGTTCACAAAGCCTTCATTCATACAAGTGGGTAAGGTGTTGTTTTCCAATCTTTCTCATGCTGGCAGTCGGATCAAGAGGAGGACGGAGATCTAAAGGCACAGGTACAGAAACAAAAGGTCTAGATGTTGCTCAGGTATCAATGTTGGAGGTGTTCACCTCTTTCAGCATGTTACTGTCAGTTCTCTGTGAAGAAATGTGTAGAAACAGCATTTTGTATCCTTTCAATACTGTGTCCCTTACTTTTCCCTTTCTTTTTCACTTCTTTCAGAATAGTCTGATTAAGCGAATACAGGGTGAAAATGTGTATGTCAAACATAGTAATCTTATGTTAGAGGTTGGTATTGGTATATACCAGTGCATGTACGTACATGTGTGTTAGTTTTAGTGGTAAACTGTGGATCTGCACTATGATGCATGAACTGTGTACTCCCACCTGCTAATAGATTATTTCTTCTCTCAGATTATGATGACTCCTCTAACCTGTACTATCAATATCGATACATGCGTGTGCCTCTATGTGTGTGCCTCCACGCACATATGTATGTTTGTATGGAGCCTCTTTATCAGGTGCAAATTATAGCAATATGGACAGGCTCTTTAACAATGTATTTAGACTCACTTGTACAAGATATGCTATGCTGTTCTCTTTCAAAATGCCACATTTTCACAGAGTGTTGTGTCAGTGCTGTGCTCCCCGGCTCCCTGAGCTGTTACTTCCCTCTATACTAACCAAGTTGTGTGTTTTGGCTCTAAAGTTTGGTTGGCTTAGGATGTATCACAAACTGCTCTATTCTTTTAAAACTGTCTAGGATCTAGACAAAACCCAGGAAGATCTGATGAAACATCAGACCAATATAAGCGAGTTGAAACGCACCTTCTTGGAAACCTCCACAGAAACAACTGTGTCTAATGAGTGGGAGAAGAGGCTTTCCACATCTCCCGTTCGGCTTGCAGCAAGGCAGGAGGATGCTCCTATGATTGAACCACTAGTGCCTGAAGAGGTCAGCGTGAGCTGAAAGGCTTCATTATATATGTGTCTATGCATTTTTACTTATGGCAGCTCTCACTAGATTAGAGGCCATAGTTAGAAGCCAATCCCTGCTTGGAGGCACTCCCTTTTCTCAGAACACAGACAGCAAAGATAGGAGGAAGAGTAGATACCATAAATATATACATATATAAATATATGTGTATATAAAGAATTAAATTCACTGGAAGCAGAACTGGGTCTCTCTGAGGGTGCAAAATACAGGTGTTGTTACAAGTTCAGTGAGCTTGAAGAAGTCCAGCCATGCATGAAAGAAACCATGAAAGTGATGGAGAGAAAATTTAAACAATGGTGACTGGTTGGGAGCAGTGGTGTAGTGAGACAGGTGGGGGCTGTGGTGCCAAGCTTGAAACGAAAATACAGAAGTAAGGGCAGAAATCTCAGTTCCTGAAAATAGGGAAGAAATAATTATGATAATTGGACCTTCTTGTTCAGTTCCATAAGGAACCTGATGGTTGCTGCAGTCTGCTGGATGCTGTCATTGAAGACCCAATGCAGATTGCTAAGTATCTGCATTTCCCTGCAGTGTGCGTGCATGAAAAAATCTTGCTCACTGTGCAGTCTTGAAGTGCTTGTAAGAAACTTGCCAGTTTAAAAGCTGGTGTTTACTTGATCTGTAGGTAGATAAGGACATGTAGGGGTAGCAAGGGCACATTTGTGTTGCAATAAAATACATAGTGCAGAGCCTTGGCTTAAGTCCAGTGGAGCAAAAAGAAATAAGCTTGTGTGGTCTGCCTGAAAGGTTTCTTTTTTTTTTTTTTTTTTTTTTTATTCTATTATGAATGGATATCTGGTTTCTGTCTCACAGGAATTATCTTTATGACTTCGTCTTGGTTTTAGCGTTAAAAACCAAAAAATGGTCATAAGATTTGTTTCTGTGCCCCCAGCACTGGGGGATGTAATGGTATAGGGAACACAGTAAAAATTGTCTGGAAAGTGTAAATTGAAAGAGTGTTCTGCTTTCTCACCTCAGAGGTTGGTGTTGCAGACCCATAACTCTGGGGAAGGGCATCCCTGGAGGCATGCAACTTCTCCTCATAGGGATAGGGATATTGCCAAGGAAAGGGGTCTCACATCCTCCTCTCCCACATTATATCCAGTGGCTGATGCTGGCACCAGATGTGCATTACTGTGGCAGTCATGTTGGATTAAAATACGTAAAAATGCAGGCTCAGTGCTCAAAGCTTCCTTTTTGAGGGGAGGACAGAAGAGTTTTAGTGTTGCTCCTACTGCCTTGTTCAGGAATTGTAACAGACCCTACAAACAGGTTGGTTTGATTGTAGTTGAAAATAAAGATTTATCCTTCTAAAAAGTAAAATTGTAAGTACAATGATTAGGATGCATTTATCATAATAAATATATAAGGAATTGTTGGAAAGGGTGGCTAGCTGAGCCTCAATCAGAGGATTGCAAAGGAAGCAAACTTAACACCACCCTGTTTGTTTAATATCTTTATGTTGTAATGTACTACTACATCTTTATTACTTTAGGAATGTAATAAACAGTTTTAATTAAAACACACAAGCATTATCAAAGTGTTACACAGCTATGTAGGCTTCACCCTGAGAAAATACATCTGAATTTAACCGTTCATTTGGAAAGGAAAAGAGCAAGAATTATACATGCATCTAAGTAACACATCTATTTCACAGAACCTCATCCAAATGAAGATATTTCTTTGAAAATTGAGAGCAGACTTGAGCTATCAGAGCCTAACTCTGAGGCAACTTCTGCTGTAGATAACACCTGGCCATTCCTTTGGTCCCAGTAAGTGAGATGGTTTCAGTTCATTTGTCTTGATGAGAGGGGATTTTTTCAGGAAAAAGCTGAAGCCATCCATAGGTCAAAATCAGTACCTTTATGTCTACTAAGAAATGCAGAGTCAGTCAAGATGGTGTAGTGCCTTCTGCTAGTCAAAGAAGCTACACATTATCCACTTTAAAAATATGTTCAGTGCTGTTACTGTAGCTCCTTCTTATAATAAAACAAGAACAGAAGAGAAAATATGTATTTTCAAAATGTGATCTTTGAGCACATAGTACCTGAGTCTTTGGTCAGTGTGACTTTAAGCCACTGGTCGCACTTGGTTTCTTAGAACAGATGGGCAAATAATTTGGTTTTCCTTAGTAATGAAAAATATAGCCAGATAGCTGTAGAACATGAGAGCCCTCATATTGACAAAGTCCTTCACAACATTTAATCTGACCTGAATTAGATGAAATCAAGGCTTTAGGAGTAAAGGAGTTGTGCATCTCCTCGCAGCCAGGGAGCTGAACCATTTATCCCTTTCTAGTGACATATTTCTCTTTAAATTTCTATCTTTCCTCTTGAGAATATGTACCCTTTTATCATGCCAGTCATAGGATTTCCATTGGCATATTTATTGTGTGTAGTATTTACTGAAGTCACTAGAAAGGATTTGTCAAGAAACCCATTTTGCTCTGCAGGGGCTTAGTTTCTCTGGTCAAATGACAACAGTGGCCAGCCCAGAAGGTGGGCACAAAAGCCTTGGGAAATTGAGTCTTACTTACATTTAACGTGTTCCCAGTTTTCCAAGATAGAGAGATACTCTTACTATTCTCATAGCACTGGGAAAGCTCTGCTGGGATAAAAGTGAGGAGATTTCGGTGTCACACAACAGGATAATAGAACACCAGTTAGCTCCCTCTGTAGGAAAAGTGCTCCTAAGACTTCTGATACCAGCAGGGAAAAAGGCAGAGATGAAATAATGGCTGGGCACAGCTTCAGCCTGCTTCAGCAGAGAGGGCTGCAAACTCAGGAGAGAGCCTTGCCCAGAGTGGAGGTGGAGGGGCCTATTCTGGGCTCTTGGTGGAAGCTATGTGAGCTGGCATCACCCCCAGTTAAGTGAATCACAGTGCATCCACACCTGGGTCTTTCTCAGTTTAGTGGGTTTTGTGCTACACTTGTGCATACCATTTGCATACTCATGTCTCCTTTGCATTCACCACAGAGAGACGCTGATTTCACTTCTCATTAGAAACCTCTGCGCTGCAAAATGATTCTCTTTAGTTCTGTTTCCTAGTTTTCCATGAGATTAATAATTTGTAGAGAAATGTGAGCTACTGTGAAGTATAGTGGACTTTATACCCTCAATTTACTAAAATCATTTATTCCCCTGACATTAGACCAAAGAAGAAACAGAAAAATCAGAAAAACTCATATTTTTGCAGAAGGGAGGTACTACATTCCTTGAAATGCAGGTAAAAACAAACAATACTTCATTGAAATGCAGTCAGAAAAGATGGCAATGATTTTATTTTCTTTTTTCCTTTCCAAGCCCTCCCTTTTCATATTTTTAAATTGTTATTATTTAATAAGTTCCAGGCAGAGATATAATCTGGAGACCAAATTCTAAGGAATGGGTCCTCTCCAGAGTTTATGGTTTCCTAATGGAGACCGATTTCTCTGCTACTTAGAAATCTACTTGCACGGTGCTGTTTGGATGTTGTTTGCAGTTTGCATGCATTTCCAGCATAAACCTCACTGAGAACGTTACGGTGAATGAGGCACTTCTGTCACGAGAATGTGTTTCCTTTATATTGTCAACTGAATTTAGATTATGCTGAGTGATGGTGAACTTTATATTTTTATTGGTTTTTCTGTTAGCCAAGTGTGATAGAGAAGAAGCTGCAGGAAGGAGAATCTGCTGGCACTTTGGTTACCTCTCATCAAATCATTATCCAGAAAAGTATCCCATCATCCCTAGAGGTTATTTTTAATTCATTTGATTTTAAACTACATCATTTGCTTAGTTAAATAGAGAAGTTATGGTCTTAAAGTCAAATAACGGGATGCTGATTGCATAGTCAAAGCAAATCACATAGCACATTTGCATGAGGAGGAAAAAAGATGCTGCAGTTAAGTTTCATTCAGAATTTTTAGTAGTATGCTTAGTTTCTACAGTTTGCAGTGTTGTGCTTCTCCATTTAAACAATCCGGAAGGGCGTTGTTTTCTAATGAAAACAAGGAAATTCAGTGCAGGCTACATACAGAAGAGTACTATTGTAAAATGTCATTAACAGCATGTTTGTAACAACTAGGGTACAGTTGAATGGGCTTATTTGCCCTATTTTTGTAATTTGTTTTTGACTGTAGCTTTGTGAAGCACTGCAATATGTGATTTTTAAGCCCAGGTTGATTCCAGTCACCATTATTATTATGTGCTGACCTACTATTTTGCTTCAAACAAGTAATAAGTTTTTTTGCTTCAAAAAAGTAATATTTTTGGGTCCATGTTATATGGACCTCTGAAGAAAGACAATATGCAAAGAAATCATATTTTGCCTAAGGTGCTTCTGTTTATTTGCTTGGTAACTGCTCTGAGAGGTACAATGATAGAAGTTACTATATGCTTTCAGAAGAAGCAACGTGATTTCTTAAAAGTCTTCATAATTTAGTGCTCCTGAAGTACAGATAAACCCACAGATATTCTAATTTAGCTTTTATATCTCAAATATAGGGCACTGAGGATTGGGTTATTATAGACAAAATACCCTCTGAGGTAGTTGATGGTGAATCGGAAAAAAATCTGGCAAACAAAGTAGTGACTGTGAGCAGTAGAACTGCCTTTCCACCTGAGATATTAAAATCCAGTACCATTCTAATGCAGAGCTTTGAGGACTTGGAAAGTGAAATACAATCCAATGAGGAGAATAAGCAGAAAATGTTCACCCTAGGGAAGTCGTATGATACCGTATCTGGGAAAATTGTAACCATGACAAGTAAAGCTAAAGAGGGCGAGAAAGCAGTACAGCCTTCAGGAGAAACTTTGCAAAAACTGGAAAGGGAAGTTCAAGAGTCTGTGAAGATCGTTCCAATAGTGGCCAAGTATGAAATCCTCACTGATGAGAAAGCCAGGCGGGGATCTGATGTGCAGAGCGTGAGAAGAAAGCTGTCTGACTCTCTGACACCTATAAAGGAAGCAGAATCTCAGTTGCAGAGTCCTGAAGAGGAGAGTTTGAAAAAGACACTAAGGATGGACCAGGATTTGCAATTACTTGGTACACTGGAAGGCTTACAGCTTGGCAAAACAGAAAAGCACCCTGGCGGAGAAGCTGTAAAAGCAGGGGCTTTTGCCCGTACAGATAAGAGCCTGTCTGAGTGGAGATACTCCAGAGAACAGCCATTTACCATTGCTACTGCTCACTATGTTACTGAGTCGTCTGCATCAAAAGTAGTGGTAACAAGTGGCTTTGACTTCACGCCACGATTTAAAGATAAAAGCATGACTTCTTTTAGGCAATCCCTTCACACCACCCTAGCTTTCAGTTCTCTTGCTGCCTGGCTTTATGTTGACAGCAGCCAACCCAGCTTATTTTTTTTCTCTCATACTTTGAATCCGTCTCACAGTCTGAAGCAGACATTATATAAGGCTTTCAACCTTTCTGGTTTACGTACTGAAATTCAGTATTGCTGCTGTGGCTTGTTAATAAAAGGAAAAAAAATTGTTTGCTTGAACCAGCAAAATGCCAATGCTAACAACTATGCTTTGTAACTATTGCTTACTACAGCCATTATGAATTTGCTCTGATTTATTTTCCCATTCTTTTCCTGTTTACAACCTCTCCGTGCCCCTGCAACCTTCTTTCCTTTTCCTCCGTCTCCACCTCTGGTTTTGGCAATTAATATGTCTGTGCATATGGGTCTGCCTTTTTTCTGTGTATGACTCTACATTTCTTTGTCTGTTTAGACTAAACAGTCCACCAGTGAAAAAACCTTGGACGGTTCAGATATCTTCACTTTAATAGAGTCCGCCAGAAAACCAACTGAGTTCATAGGAGGGGTTACTTCTACTTCCCATACTTGGGCTCAGGTGTCTGCTTGATTCCCTCCATCGATGTCATAACCATGCACCAATTACTTTTGGTTTTCTATCATTTCGTGGTTTTTTTGCACAATATGGAACTGTATAACTAATGCATGCATTCATGTGTGTTTTCTTTTGATTCAACAGACCACAAGAGAAACTTCACCAAAAAGGAAAAAAAAAAAAAAAAAAAAAAAAAAAGGCAACAACCAGCTCAACCAGCTTTTCTTCAATTTCATTTTATTTTGGTTATTTTGCAGGGTGCTGTATTTTGCCTTTTTAAAACTCACACGAAAATACCAGTGAGAAGAACACCGACATTGAAATTTCTCTTCACTTTCAAAAATTTTGCTTCTTGCTTTGTTTTCCATTTCTGCTATACTGATAATATCCTGAGAACAAAAATTCATGCAACATGGGAGAAATAACTTGGCAAAATACAATGCCCATTTTTTTTTTAATTTATGTTCACAGTACATTAAGCTTGGGCGCTACTGCAAATAGTGTTGTCTGCTTCTGATGCTGAGTGTTTTTTTCCTCCTTCCCTGCAGAGAATAGAGACGACGACGTCTCAGGAGATAACTTCCAGTGACATGAAGCAAGCAGCTCAGCCGGATCAGGATACAGTGCAGAAGGTTGTACAGGAGACTGTAGTTGTCAAGGAGAGACATGGGATGGAGGTGCATGCAGGCGGGGATCCTGCTAAAGTGGCCGGACTTACGCTGGATGCCCAGGCTGAGGCAGCGTCAGCGGTGGCTGCCGGCGTGAAAGGGAAGGAGGGCTCTGCTGGGACTGAGGGGGCGAAGGAGGAAAAAAGGGAGGAGGCTGGGAAAGCCCTAACCAAACAGGAAGGAGTCGCTACCCCTGCTTCATGTGAGCAGGCAGAGGAGCACAGAACAACAGTCCAACTTTCAGAGTCTTTGGAAAGAAAACCTCATTTTGAGGTAACTTGATGTTAAATTGGTCGTGTCTGTGCTGTCTTGTGAATGTAGGCGATAGTAGGCTAAGTTAATTCCTGTCATTGAAAGTTAAGTGTTCCCCGCTTGTATGATTGCACTTTTACAGAACGCAGTTTTTTTCTCCTCTTATTTCCTCCTTGCATGCCATCTGCAAGGCTTGCTGCTGGTTTCCATAGTTAGCAAAATGTCATGCATGCTTTACTTGAAACTGCTTTTTATGCTGCAGAGAAATATCAAATTTCATGGCATTTTATGCAAGAGATAACAAGATCAGCTGGCGTTAAGTTTGGGGAAGCCTATTGAGGTTGGCAAAGTTCACATATCCTCAAAGACAGAAAATAGACTGTTTTGTCCATTCTTGGTGCAATTATAAATAAGTGTACTATGTCTTAAACAGGCAGGTTCCTTATCTTAGCCCCATTAATAGAATTTCAAGACCTGTTTTGTGCAGGGGTTTTTCCCCAGAGATAAAAAGACTAAGCCTGCACAGAATTCATTCTTGTCATTCTAAGAAGATGTAGAATCACACATTCTCAGAACAGTTGAGGCTGGAAGGACCCTGTGGAGGTCATCTGCTCCAATCCCATGATCAGGCAGGGACATCCAGAGGGAGTTGCTGCCCAGGACCATATCCAGAGAGCTTCTTCTGAGTATCTTCAAGGAAGGACATTCCACAATATCCTTGGGCAACCTGTGCCAGTGTTCAGTCACTCTCAGAGTGAAAAAGTGTTTCCTGATATTCTCATGGAACCTCCTGTTTTTCAAGTTGTGACCATTTCCTCTTGTAGAATTTTGAGCATTTTGGTCTTTGTTTTTGTAAAATCCAGGGAAGTGCCAAATTGTCACCAGCATTATATACATGAATGTACCACTGTAATGAAGATAATTTCCCCTTTTTTTTTTTTTTTTTTTTTTTTGTTTTGTTTAATGCAGAACACTTTTTAGTTTTTCCTTTGCCCCAAGCAAAAAAAAAAATGTTCTGATAAATCCATAAGCTTTCCTAAATGTTCCAATTCCTTCTTTTTTGTTCATGCAGTCGCCAGTCGTGAAGACTGAGACTATAAGTTTCAGCAGTGTTCCCACTGGTGGGGAAACCCTTGAAATTTCAACAAAGGAAGTGCCAGTAGTCCATACAGAAACAAAAACCATTACATATGAATCTTCTCAGGTAAGAAATTCTGCAAAAGACATGGTCTAATTTCATGTGCCTTTAAGGAACCCGTTTTTTCATCCATCTTTAAGTGTATGCTTTAGTGTGAACTACTATAAAATATTAGTATGAGGGGAATGTACATAAGAATAACTTACTTGAGGGCCACTCTCACATCCTGGTGTACGGCCTTTCAAGAACTGATGAAACTGCAGATTTAAAAGCGCCATATTCTCATCTGTGCTTCCAGAGGGAAAGAACAGCTTTCAGATGCACAAATACTGACATGTGGTTGCCCTAACAGCAGTTTTCCCCTACCATAAGATACTCACCTTATGAAGAACTGTAGAAATGGGGAAGTTTAATAGTCCAGTTTTTGCTTCCCTGTGCTCAGGAGCATTTTTTCTGTGACTGGTTTTCTCTTCTGGTTTCTAGGTGGATTGCGGTGCTGACTCTGAACCAGGTGTATTGATGAGTGCGCAAACGATCACATCTGAAACCACCAGCACTACAACTACTACACACATCACCAAAGTGAGTCATCAGAAAACAGGGAGCTCCTTTCTCACCAGGGTGTATGCTATGTTAGCTTTGGTTCTATGATTTATTATAAAAAGGGAACACATTTTTATACTCTTTTGACAAAATGTTGTACATTTACCATATATAATTGTCTTTGTCCACCTGTCTTTGGCTATGATTAACACATTGTCCAATGATTTGACATGAATTGTAAACCGTTAGGGTATGTCTATGCAAGCACAAAATCTTGCTGTACAGAAACACTTGATTTAGCTGTAAGTGCTACCTGGAACTGGAAAGAATATTGGAATCATATGGTAGCCTGGAAGGAATAACTTGTCTGAACATGAGGCTCCATTCACATGACTATGCATTTCAGCCCTGAGATATTAGCAATGCACAGTGTTGAAAGCAAATAGTGAATCTATATCCTATAGCCATAACAGGACATTCAGTCAGCTCCAACACCTTGGCTGTGTTCTGGATGGTACCCTGAGGAACTTGCCCACAGCCAGGCTGAAAGCTCATCTGCACAGACAAACCATGCTGTGTCTTCCAGGTTCTAAGGTTGCATTTAAATAAGAGTTCCTCCCTGAGTAGAAACTCTCTTAGTGCTGTGACAGCTCTCCTACCAATATTGACTGAGAACAGGATTTCATCTTTCTGCAGTGGAGCTCTCCCATTAGTAGATGAGCCATACAAAGGCCATGCCACCCCATATGCCATTCCGAAACAAGCAGTTGGACTTGAATAGGTCTGAATATGGGGCTGTCTGTATTTCCATTCTGTTTTTCTTGAGACAAGTTAGCCATTTTTGATATATAAACATCTCTCTTGATGCATGTGCAGATTAACTAGAATTATAAAATTACCTGTGTTGGAAGAACATCTGGAGGTCATTAGCCCAATTCAGAGCATTCAGGCCAACTCCAGAGCTGCTCACTTGCAGTACAGGGTTGTCCCCTCTGCACAAGCTGTTTGAGCTGTTTTGGTCCAGTTCCTGCACTGATCATCTGGGGATGAGTAACAGCACTCTAAAGTAAGTTATTGATATGCATTTTTGTCCCTCCCATCTAGACTGTGAAAGGTGGCATCTCAGAGACAAGAATTGAAAAACGAATAGTCATCACAGGAGATGCAGATATTGATCATGATCAGGTAAAATCTACAAACGGTTAAAAAGGCTTCCCTGAAGACTGCCAAAGAGAACATATCTAAACATTGCTTTGACAGATATTATTCATACTGGCATGTCTTAAATTAAGCTGGAATAATAGTTAAATCAGTGATGGTATATTTCATATTTTAATCATTTTCCTCATTTGTAAATTGTGTAATATGTCATAAATCTCTCCACCTTGCTACTGATCATGCATGTTCCACCTCCTTTTTGTTTTTGCCCTTCTGTGGTTTCCTTGGGATAGGCGCTGGCTCAGGCAATTAAAGAAGCCAAAGAGCAGCACCCTGACATGTCAGTGACCAAAGTAGTGGTACATAAAGAGACAGAAATCACACCAGAAGATGGGGAGGATTGACCACAGGTAAGAGGACCAGATGATTTTCCTAGGCATTTACTGGGCTGGCATGTTGCAGATGTTGTTTTCCTACCATATTTCACCTTTAACTCTTCACTTTCTCTCACTGGCATTTTCAATTTCCTGGTTATCAGTTCTGATACTTGAAAGTAAACCACATTCAGCTCTAGACATCTGCTTTCATTAAACAGTGCCAGCTGGAGAAAGAGAAACTACTCATTTGCTTTCGTTGGCTCTCTAAAAAGTCCTCATTGTCCATGCTTTGTTATAGCCTAATTTTCTCCTTCTGAAGTCATAAAAAACGTTGTCTGCTTTTGTGTCATTTAAGAACAAAAACAACTTGTTCTTAAAGGTGTGCATTTTTGTTTAAAAATGCCAAGGGAAAAACCCACATCTGCTTTTTAAATGTGTTGTGCAGATATGTTAAAAGTTATGCTTCAGTTCCCAACTTGCAAAGATATGGTCCAACTTGCTTTTAAACGCAGTGAATTAGTTTGTTGATATTTGGGTGTCTTGGCTTTCTTGTACTTGAAAGAACATTTAATGTTTTAAAGCAGCATTGTTTATCAGGATGAGATGATAATGCAGCTTTCCTTGCGTCTAGCTTTTTCTCAGTAAAGGCATGCTCTCCAATAGTGGCTGGCTAAACAGACGTCTCAATATTCCTATATTTATCTGTGTGCAGAAACATGTCATGCATACTAACCTGCTATGCAGAAGCTCTTAATGCCAGCACCATTGCACAAATTGCTTTGAATGCTGTATGCAGAAGGGGAAGAAGAAGCTGCTTGTCAGATTTGTTGAATCGATAGCAGCATTTTATTCTTAAAACAATATGTATTCCCTAGCACTTGGTGTAAGTAACAGAGTATTAATGCACAGCACCTTTTGAAGCTCTTTGGCTCTCCTGCTTTTGGATATACAGACCCTAAAGAAAACTGAATTTCAGTGTCAGTTATTTATTTGGAAGATGGAACCAGTCACTAAGGAGTGAGTAGCTGTGATTCTTGTGGTATTCTGCTAATTGTTTCAGAGACAGCTCAATGTGGCTTGCTTAAAAGTCTATTGATGTCACCAATTCTTTCAATTTGCGTCAGTGGACTTTGGATTTGGTCCAAGTTGCTTATAGTGGGATATGCCATTTTGAAACAGCTTTTCTTATATGAACAAATTGACAAAATCTCTTCTGCAAGAGAGTCGTTCCTTTGAATAATTAATTCAGTTCTCTTTTCTGCAGGAATAACCTAGAATGCATATGAATCCAGACATGCATACCAGTAGGAATACGAGAACCTATACGGAGTCTCAGTTCCAACCTGACTGACTTGTATCTGTCTATGGAAAATTTCAGTACAGAAGAATTGATCTTGACCTTAATAAAGAAACTGACAGAGATACCTTCCCATAGAAAGCAATCTGAATCAGCAGCAGTTAAACAATATTGCATGAAGCAACAATAAAATTACAGAAAAGCAGCATTTTTAATTTTCTTAAAATGTCTAAGTTTTCAGCTTTACCTGCACGTTCATAAACAATATAAACAGTGATCTCATGTAACACATAAACAGTTCATGCCTTTCACAGTTTCTGAAAGTCTAAACAAATTAAAATTTGTTAGGTGGCAAGTCTTTTGTTTACAGATTGTAAATGAAGATTACCCCGAAAATGCTAGAAGCTGTATAGGTACTGTGTATAATGTTTTACCACACATTAGATGTGCCAATAACACAGTTTATTCAGTAAACAACTTGAATCTTATATTTGTTTCATCTGGTTTTATTACTGCCCGATAAACAATGATGAATCTTTACTCTTATCAAAACATATAAATGCTTACAAAGTGTGCTTTGTATACCTGACTGAACACCTTATGAGGTAGTAATGATTTTAGTATATTAACTCTAATGATTTTTGTCAGCATTGTTCAGAGTCAGCTTCCAGTCACCCTTCACAGATCCTAATCTTGTAAATTATATGTAGTTATTTTGGAGAAAAAAAAAAAATCTGTATTTTACTTAGTTTGCAGCTTTAGAAAATTATTAATCTGAAATAACCATGATGGTTTTCTATTGATTTCCCTTTTGTTCTCAGAGGAAAAAAAAAAAAAAATCTGTTTGAGAATCTGGCCAGCATTTGCTATCTAGTTCTGAGTCAAGCCTTAACCTGTACAGAACGTCCACTGAAAACTCGCTAGTGTCCAGCTCTAATACCCACGGAAGGGATAGCGTCCATTACACTGTCAGCTGCATCACAACACATGGTGAATGTATGTTTCTGCATAGTGAAATAAAAGTGGTAAATGCATCTGAAATCGTATTGTTCTGTGTCTAAAAGCACCTAGTGGTCTTTAGTATTCAAAACATCAAAATGTTATGTTTGTAAGACACCACAGGTTTTACTCATGTGCACAGTAGATGTGTTTCATCTTCAGTGGCTGACACTGCACAGTGCAGACAGTGGGAGTTAGTGGAGAATCCAAAGGGATGACAGTGTTCACCTTTGGGCATATGACGTTTGCAAAGGAAAAGGACTGTTTGGTTCCTTCTGTTTTCTCTGGTTGTGTAACATTTCACCAAAGCTAAATGAAGAATTTTGTTGTTGCTTAGAAAGTAAAGGCCAGTAGCGCTTGATCCAGACCCACCCTCTTTTTGTACTTTGCCTCTGAAACATGGATAAAATTCTCTTTAAGGCCGTATTACTTACTGGTTCCTTTTTTTTTTTTTTTTTTTTTTTTCCCCACTCCTTTGCTGCATCTCACTGACACTCCCCTGGTAGTTTAAGAGAAATTTGTAATGATTAGTTCACCCTTCAATCTGTATTTCCTTGCAGGATTGAAAGGCCGTGGGTACAAGCAGACTTTTCAGGACATAAAGGGCCAAATTTGCCCTTCATTGTTTACACGGGGCTCCCTCCCATTGAAGTTAATGGATTTGCCTTCAGTGGAGAGCAGGATTTGACCCGGTGACTTGTTAATAAATGTTTATTTTCATAATTTAGAAAGAAAAATAGTATATATAGAGAGAATAACCTGTAGATAATAATTAAAAGTAATATCCCAAGGCTTTTAAAGCTTTGCCCTTAGTCTCCAAAGCATCTTCCTTCCACCAGCCATTCTTCATGCCTTTAAATATGGAGTGCTAATGATGTAATCCCTCCCCACATTGTTACCTCTCACCTAAGAACCCACAAAGCTGACCGTCTGTTGTGATCTTTAATGGCCCTCTCCTCCTCCTCCTCCTCCTCCTCCTAGTCCAAGTCCATCTCTGTTCTCATCCCCCTGAGTGACAGTAGGCTCAGCTCTCTGGTGCTGCTGGTGCCCAGAGGCTGTCAGGAGTGGAGGAGGTCCTCACCCTGTGCTGGCCGATGGCGCACCGGGTCCTCACTACTGCATCAGGAGTTTAAAAATAAACTCTGAAGCCATATTGATCCTCCTTCAGGTGCCCCTCATGTTGTCAGCTAAGGAACAGCATTGTTTACCTCAGAGAGACACAAGGTGATCGCACAGCCTTCTCTCCAGAGTTAGCATTATATTTTAGCATGGCTTGAGGAGATTGTACTCTGGTGATCCTGCACAGTATGTACGCTGTCTAAAGATATTGCATTGTAGGAAGTTAGTCTCCTTGGAAAGGACATTTGCCACTAAGATACCGCCTAAGCGCATATAAACTATGAGGAGATGGGAGTGGACAGGCAAGGACACCTCAGTGCCACTGTTGGTAGTAGACCCTTGTTTGGGGGATGGTTCCTGGAAGTGATAGCTTTGGATTTTGTTAGAAACTGTTTCTTGGGTTGTCTGCCTAATGCTGTGCCACATGAAATAAAGAGCACCTGCCTGTTTCTACCAACCATCTTTTGTCTCCGTCTCTTCTCATTTATTGTTGGTCTTTGTCTGGCTTCTTGACATAAACCAGCCTGGAAAACAAACCATCAGGTAGTGTATTACTTGTGGGCAGCATTGCCAGCACAGACACCAGCACGGGAGGCAGCCTTCCTTACTACAGCTGGAATTCCAGCTCAATCCTGAGAGAACTGACTACTCTGAGCCATTGGGGTAAGGGCTTTGCACACCATATCAATACTGAGCATTTCACATACAGAAAGAGTGAATACATCACACTGACATTTTTTAAGGCTGCTTGGAATCCCTTAACATTTATGCCCCTGAAGTTTTTTTAAGGCTGTCTCATCACAAATAGCAAGTAATGGTGTTTCTGTGCTCAAGAAAATATAAAAATAATTCACTGAGCTTCTGAATCCATATACTAGATCAAAGCAAGGGTTTAACAGCTTAGCCTTATTTCTTCCCAGAGCAGATTTAGGCAGCTGGTGAGATGATGTGCTTCATATGTATAACAATTTGTATCTGCAAAGATGATAGCTCCTGATAAATAGTTCTTCATGGCATATAAATTGTACATTGAGTCCAGACTTCAGTTTGGCAATCACACTGGCAAGTCTTGGTGCAAGTTTCTTTTCCTTACACCAAAACAGTTCTGTCAGTTAAGATCAGAAAACCCATTTACAAGCATCACCTTCACATCTTCACAGGTAATAAGGACAAGATAAAGAAATGCATTCCCTTTTTTTATACCAGAACAACAATGGTCAAGATTCTTCAGAACTAGGAATCAAATCATTATTTTAAATGTTTCCTAGTTACTAAATGCTGAGATCTCCTGCAGTCCTATATAGATCCCAAGGTAGAGCAGTGGTTTGAAGTACTATGGGTGGACAAGTGGATGTCTATGAGAACCACTAACTCCATTTTTTATGTTATTTTTAAAGAAAGAAAAATAAACCCTTTTCTTAAATCTATAGATTCCAAAGGCTGTATCAATCTTACACTGCCAATAGAGGGTTTCTGTGTCTCTTGTCACTGATGTTATGCCACATCAGAAAGTCTGCCCGTGGCTGCTCTAGTGTCTCAGAGCAACGCAAAATACCAGCTTTCCTAATTAAAACTTGGTTGTACTTAAAATGACTATTATTACTTCTGCATATTGTAGTTACATCTCAAGGATTTACATATAGATAAACAATGGGGCATATTGTTGTTAGTTTTTCTATAAAAGTATTTTCCATAAGTTTCTGTATTCACTTACTGTAACTAGATTATTCCATTACCTTGTAATAATGTTAGCCCGTGTTCAGACTGTACACTAGTTTTGTTTATGCCTTTTGTTTCCACCTCCACCCTTTTTTCTGACTCCTATTCAACATCAGTCTTGCTCCTCAGCTGGAACTAATGGTTCCTGTAAGGGCTCCTGGAGAAGAATTTCAAAAATCCTTATTTAAAGGGAAACCAGTGTGCTCAAATTACACAAAAAAAGTCAGTCAACTTTCTTCCATTATCTCATGTTCCCAAATTCATCTATAACCTCCATAAATCAGTGACCTCACCATTGCAGCTGAAATGACCATCACTCACTGTAAGTAAAATTAATGGCCTGTCTTTGAGCATGACTACAGTGACATAAAAGGGAAAAGAAAAATGAGAAAGAGTTCTGACTCTGGAAATTGTTTTCATTTAAAAATAATTATATTTTTAACTCTACAGTCTACCAGCTCTACTTTCTCCAGTAAACCTTTTATTCTTGGGTGGGGTGGGTTTTGTTTTTGGGTTTTTTTTTGTCCAGAGCTTGTCTAGAAATTTCTTTTCCATTTTCTAGAAGTATCTCTGCTGTTTGCTGTGGTACCATGACTCTTAACTTCTGTGCATAACCAAAGCTTGGGCAATGTCAACTAATAGGAGCTGCAAAAAATCAGATCCCAGAACGCGCACAGCTTTTGAGCTGCCTGAAATTTCAACCCAGAGGGTGTGTTTCCACACAAGCCTTGCTTTACAGTGCACATGTAAAGTACTGGCCATGTGTTATTTTGTGGATAATCCTGGGTGGCTATAGCGTGAAAGATACAAGATTAGACAAAGCACACTAAAGGGCTCAGGGAAGGTGTATCATAAATTGTACAAAAATGCAAAGAAACAAATTAAAGCAATATATCTGAGTATGCAAAGCAAATAATTAAGAATTTTCAAAGCCTTCTCCAGTAGGAAAAGTCCAGCTAATACAATATTTCCTTAAATCAAGGGTGTTTCTGGCCCAGATGTCCTTTCTTAGTGGATTTAGGAGGGTATTTCTCAGACATACTGGTTTTCTGGCCAAACAGTTGATGCATTTGGCATATGAAGGCTTTTAAAGGCATTTATATTCCTGTAGTCCAATCTCCAATCAATATACAACTTAGATATAGTTGTATAGCATTTTCTATAGTTACAGAGGTGGTGACAATTTAACCACTCATCTTTAGAGCTCCTAAATCCTAAGCTACCAAACTAACATACACACACATTTCCACAGAACATTTGTTCTAAGAGTATTTTGATGAAATCATCCTTGAATATCCATTAAACAATATATTTTTGTTTTGGTTTGTTTCTTTTCATTCAAAATGCCATCTGGTGATTGACATGTAACAAGATTTTTTCCCTGAAATTAGATGAGATGTCAGTACAGGTACTTTTTGACATATCATTCTATAAAAAGGGAACAACACAAAAACACTGCAACATGTGGCCTGATATCATAGAAGTAAATTACTGGCTTGAATACCTGTGTGATATGGTTCTTGTGATGAGGACACATCTGTTTACTCTGGGAAGACAGTCTGTAATAGTTACCCCACCACTTCCCAGTTATTTTAAACTCTTTTTGTCCCTTCTTGCTTATTTTCATATTCTCCAACTTAATCCACCCGTGTTTGATCTGTCAGGCTTCTCTCTGCATCTTTTCTTCTTCCAACTTTTCTCACAGCTTTTGAGAAAACTGTATCTGATGCTTCTCTTTCTATTAATTTTGCTGTTGTATATCACCACACCTATTAACCCTTTAAAGTCTTGCTAATTCTCTGCCTTGCAGTCTTCCCAACTCATCCATAACCACTTCAACTCCTACAATGATGGTACATCCAATCTTAAGGTGCATATTTCTTTGCTTTCATATCTCTCTACAAAGTTCAGTCTTGGTTCATTCTTCTCATCACTGGTGTCTTTCCTATGAGTGATTTTATCAAGCAGCACTCTGATATTTTTTTATAGACACTTTCTCCCTTTTCAACCTTCATCTGATCTCTTTCAACATTCGCTCATTTTCCCTCACATTGACACTTGGACCTTTCATGTTTTCTGGTCCATTAGCTTTGATGAGTTGTCATCTGCTTTCAGACCTTTCAAACCCCATCCCTATTTTCTCTGCTCCTCTTTCTGACCTGTCACTGAAAAGCATGCATGATGGAAATGCTGTAGATACTTTGCCTTCAATAAACACTCTTTTCTCTAACAATATTAAATTGCATTCTTCTATTTAAATAAATCCTACTCCCCCCAAGAAGAAAATCTATGTGCTGCCTGTTGCTTCTACTTCTTTTTGCATGTGCTCCTGCCCATACCTTCAGAGGAGAGCATAATTAACATACAGAATTAACAAGCATTATCAGCCTATCAATTATCAGCCTATCAATTTCCTCTTCATTCTCATTGCCCTTTTCACAGCCATAGAAGCATTTTGTCTATTTTAACTCCTGACAGCCTCAATACATCCTCATGATGCATCCTAAGGGATCATTCTCCTCACAGTATCAATTTTGTTTCCTAAATTTTTAGTTCCTCTCATGGTAAAAATATCTGCTCTGGTCCCCACCCAGTCTCAATTCCACATCTAGGATCATGTTGTCGAAATTATCTAGAACTGCTCTCTCCCACTCTGGAGGTCAGTCTATTTTTCCCCACAAGAAAAGAAGAAGAGCACAGCAGCTCTTCTCCAGGTTCAGGCTCAGGACCTGCACTTTTCTGTTGTCCCCCATGACTTGCCTTCTCTGTAGACACATTCCACACTTTTCTGTCTCAATCCTCCTCTCTGTGCTCATTTAAGCCCTTCTAACTCTCTATCCACTCTTTTAGCAAAGGCCCTCCTTGTTTCACTCCACTTTTCTGTGGAAATCTTTGGAGCTCATGGCATGCTTCCAAACTTCCTTTACACTGCCTTGCTGATCTTCCCCGAGAATGTGGATTCAGCCAGCCCATATTTCTGTCTAACTTACTGAAAGTAAGGTTAGTATTGCTTCTCTTCAAGCAATTTGTGTATATTTATAGCTGCAGCACTGTTTAGTAGAAAGAGCTCTGTCATGTGTGTTACCACATAAGAACTTCTGTGTGAAGGCAAAATGAACATACCCCCAGGAAATGTGATATTTGTTAGTGTATGAGAATAAAGAGGTAACATCATTGCTATGCTGACAAATAAACTGTTCTGGAATGAACCACCAGTTTTATTTCCACTGATAAAAATGCCCATGACCAAATGGGCATCTTCACTGGGGCCCAGCATTGTAGTCTCTGAACTGGTGCTGGATTCTACCTGATCTGCTCAGAGCAAGGGCTGAGCAGCGGGGCTGTTTCCTCCCCTTCTAGTTCACATGACCCTTACACAAACCTTAGGCATACAGTAAAATGTTCAGATCCACACAAGCCAGGCTGCTGTGACACAGGCTGAGCAAGTGATCACTGATTACATGTGTCGGCGAATTTGTACTGTAATGGTGCATCAACACCATTTATTCAGTCATGCTACTAAGCTCTCCTTCAGTGCATTTAATGCTGCAGGAGGAATATGGCATAGCAGAAGAGAGGCAGGCCAAGCACAGGCTCTGACATAGTCTTGTGGGTGACAGAAACCTTGGCTGGCACTCTGCATGTTCCATCTGTGTTGTGAAGTACATCAATCACTCCAGCAATTAAAGCTAATGGATGTTGGAGAGAACACTAGGCCAATTGGTTACCTACCCAAATTTT